TGCTTGTCATATTGGCCGCTAAACTAATGGGGTTTGTTGGGGCTAGGTTAGGGTTTATTTGGCCTTCATTAGGTAGGCCCATACTAAATCTAATCATGTTGCTTGGATACCATGAAGAACTCTTATGGTTTTGAAATTGTGTTTACTCGAATGAAGCAAGAAAATTAAATAGTTTATAGCAACCCCATCTAGATGAGGGTAGAAGGCCGAAATCCTGGGAAAATCAAGATGATACTGGTTTGAATGATAAAACAGAATAATATCCCTAAATTCTAGGTTACAACTGAAATTTGAATTGTAAAACTAACACTAGTAGGGTTTTAAGGCGCAACACTAATTAGGGTTAAGGTTTTGAGGCCCACGGTGTAACGTCTTGAGTTTTATTTTGAGTTTTGGTAGCCCTTTTTGATTGATTTGAGGATAGTTTAATGATTAAACTTGAATCTTAGTGTCTGGTTTGGGATCAAAGTGAGTTGGAGCAGTTGGTGAACAAATCCCTCTCAGATTTGTTTACCATGGTGAACTAGGGAGTTCCGGGGGGAGTATAGCTTTGGGAAGGTTTGGTCGCAGCAAAACTAAGAGTTCGTTGTGACAAAGTGGTTCAGGTGAGCGAGGTCTCCCCCTTGGGAAGGTTTTGCCGTGGCAAAGGGTGTTTGGGCGAGCGAGGGTCTCTCGAGAATGTCTTGCCGCGGTGAAGATTGGAGTTCAGCGCGGCAAAGTATGGTTTTCAAGCGACTAAAGCCCTCTAGGGATTAGTTCGCCGTGGCCAAGTATTGGGTTTGCCGCGGTGAACTGCTCGAATTTATAAATACGTTGGAGGTGTTCAGTTGTGCCAAAATTGAAAATCTGAAGGAGGAAAGTGGTGCTCTGCTGGGGTTTTGGTGCTTTGGCTTGGAGAAGGTGTTTCTAAGGGTCCTTTACCTCAAGTAAGTGAATCTAACCTCTAATCTACTCTTTCTCTTAGGATTTTTGAGGATTTTACAGGGGAACTCTAGGGCTTTTTAGTTTCTGTTGGAATTGAGGTTTTTGACCGATTGTTTTGAGTTTAATTGATAGCTTTGGGTTAGTCTAAGTGTTTAATCAGTGTAGTTTTCTTGGATTTGGAGATTTTGATGTTTTGAGAATTTAGGGTTTGTGAAAATGGAGGTTATGATTGAGGATGATAACGTAGTAGTGGAAATTGAGTTTTATGAATTGGGTTATATTAAGGAGGGTTAAATTGGATGTTTAATCGGTTTAGAATATTGTTAGGACTTCATTTGTTCTAATTGGGTGTTTGGGTGATGAATTTCTAGAGTGGGACTTTGAGTTTCTGAATTCGATCGATATTTTGGAAGGGGGACTAGAGTGATAATGGTCTCTTGTGGTTTTTGGAGTATTATTATGATGTTTTGGCCGTTGTGAGTTGGGTAGAGTTTTGGTTGAGGCTAAGAATTTTGAGTCCCCAAGTGTTGTATTGACTATTTTATTAGTTTGAAAGCTAATATATGGTGGTTGTGTGTTTGTGTGCTTGTATGCTTGTGTAGACCTGTTGTGAGTATTTGTTGGTGCACGGGGCATCATTGGTGTTTTGATTATTCCTTGCTCAGGCGAGAGGTAATCACTTTCCAGTCCTTTGTACATATTGTTATGGTACTGTGAGTGGATTTATGTTTTGTACTCCGAGTAATAAATGGTGTTCTAAATGTACTTTGTATATGAAAAGAGAAATTGTCTTGTGGGGTATTGCATCACGATAATGTATTGGGAGTTTTAGAAAGATATGCTACTTGTTGAAGTTACTTATGAAATGCGAACTTATTTGTTGGTAATGCTTGAGCATGATTCATATGTTGGGAAATTGTGAGAGATTTGGTTGATACTACCACGTGGTAAGGCCTCTATTAATGCATGATGGTTGGCTCTTTAAGTCTCCTATAGTGAGGGATAGGTCTTTTGGCTCCTTACATCCCCTATAGTAAGGAATAGGCCAGGTTCAGCTCTTGATAATCCCCAAAGTGAGGGATGTGGTTGATGGGATTGCATTATTGCACATGCATGACTGTTGTGGCTATTGTTTATATTATTATTTATTAATTGCCCCACTTGACACTTCACGAGCACTTATTAGTTTGTACCCTGAATTGGAAAGGTTGGTTACTGGGATCTTTGTCTCACCTCGTGGTTTACAATGTTTTCAGATAAAGGTTCTAAGCGTGCGTCATCGGGAAGAGACGCGGAGGCTTGGGCTTAATTAGTTGTAATGCCTTTAGTCTTTGTATATGTATGGCGAGTTGTATATTGCTACATATAGGATTTTTTGGAAATATTTTGATTGTGTGGTCTTATTGTAAACTGGAGGAAATGTTATCTCCTTATTTTGGTTGGCCGGAGGCCATTTCTAGTATTTTATGACACTTGGATTTATATTGTTAAAAAAAAAAACAAGAAGAACAAGTGGATGGGCTTATGTTTGATATCTTTTGTTACCCGGGTCGGAGGCTCAGAGGCCCAAGAGATTTTAATGACTGATTTTGGTTGCATGCAACAGAGTTTGGGTTTGACTCCAGTTTGAATGTCAATTTCTAAAAATGTGCAAATTTCTTTCTATTATGGTAGTTTGTTGTAACATCTTTTCTTTTCTACCATAGTAGCAATTTTATGACGAGATTATAATGTTAATGAGTTTATAATGTTTGAGGGTAAGAGTTTTACACACGGCCCAATCCTTACTAACAAATTAGGATTTGTTTTGAAAATTAAACTTAATAGGTTAGCATTTTAAAATGTTTTATTAATATTCAAGATCTTAATATCATCATTTTTTTGTTAACAATTTTAGGATCAAATAACTAAAAATATATTTTTTAAAGTTAAGACATCGAGCTGAAACTTTGTATAAAGTTAAATGATTATACACAAACACACAAAGACACACTTTAATCTAAGAAAATTGAAGGTTAAGGTTCAGATAACATCTTCAAGTACTCTTCCAGTCCTTAATATAGGACTCAATTCTTGAATTGGTTTTGGTCCTAAATATAAGACCTATTTATCATATTTATCAATTTTCTCTAAATTACCCTTATAGATACTCCCTCAACCACAATCAAATAGAAGAGGGAAAGGGGTATTAAGAAAAATGATTATGATATTTTAGGAAAAATGTATCACTTTTCTTATAATTAACTAATTTACCTAACTTGCTTAATTTAATCAAATTAGTTAAATTGGTCTTATATTAAGGACCAGAAGAGTATTTTTTTAAGGAAAGTCTAACATTTTAAAATATTTTGTGGTTCATGTAGTACTTTGAAGTATTTCTTTAAGTATATCTACCACCCTAAACACTCTAAGCTCCAAATTCTAAATTAGAATATTGTATGTATCTGAAAAATGCTTCTAGGCAGCGAATGAACTGCAAAATATTGTAGAGTCCTAGGAAAATATTTGGTGAGGAAAAAAACTTTATACTTGTTAGAGCAATAAAGGTGAGATCAATGATTTCATTTTTTTCATTAAAAAATATAAATGTCCGGTGTCAAAAAAATAAATATAAATGTCAGATATTATAAAGTAATGTGACAAGGATGAAATCAAAGGTTAGACAAATTTATTCTTGAATGAGTTAATCATAATTTGTAACTCGTTCGGTCATAATTTAAACAATAGTTTTCTCCAAAAATTACGGTCGCTAGAGGGGGAGAGCGCGCCCACACATATGCATATATGTATACTACCTCCATAGTATAAAATCTAATTCACTAATACGTAAAAAAATTAGTTAAATTAATTATTTACAGTAAATAGATAACTTTTTTTAAAATATTTTTATTAATCATGTATATTTGAATTACTTATTGATAACAACTCGTTAACATATGTATATGGATTAATTGATGGCAAAATAAATAAATATTTAAGATAAATTGGATTAAGATTTTATATTTAGGATTAAATTAAATATAATACTAGCTCTTATATTCTTGAATGAGTTAATCATAATTTATAACTCTCAGGCCAAAAAAAAAATCATAATTTGTAACTTGTTAGATCATAATTTAAACAATAGTTTTCTCCAAAAATTACGGTCGCTAGAGAGGGAGAGCGCGCCCGGCCGCCCACACGCATATATGTATGTATGCTACCTCCATAGTCAGTATAAAATCTAATTCACTGATATGTAAAAAAATTAGTTAAATTAATTATTTATAGTACATAGATAATCTTCTCTAACATATTCTTATTAATAATATATATTTGAATTACTTATTGATAACAACTCCTTAACATATGTACTCTTTCTGTTCTTAATATAAGACCCATTTAACTAATTTAATTAGATTAAGGAAGTTATGTAAGTTAGTTAATTATAAAAAAAGTGACACATTTTTCCTAAAACACCATAATCATCTTCCTTAATACCCCATCTCCTTCTTCTACTTGATTATGGTTATGGTTGAGAGAGTATCTATAAGAGTAATTTAGAAAAAATTGATAAATATGAGAAACGGGTCTTATATTTAGGACAAAAACAACTAAAGAATTAGGTTTTATATTAAGGATCGAAGGAGTATATGGATTATTTGAGGCCAAATGAATAAATATTTAAGACAAATTAGATTGAGATTTTATATTTAGGATCAAATTAAATATAAAACTAGCTCTTATATTAAGAATTGGAAGTAATATGTATTTGTTTTATGATCCAAGAATCTTTTCTCAGATTTAAATTTTCTGAATTATGTTTGGTTTTCAACAAAGCTACACTCTGATTCTGCATTTCTAGGTAATTAATTTTTTTTTTTTTTTAAAAAAAAGAAGCCACCTTCTGCGCAGCTAGATGCAAACTCAGTAGTTCTTGAGGCTGGAAACTGTCCATGCTGAGTGAATAAAATATTAAATACACGCATGCGGAATATTTCATTTCCAATTTTATCTCAGCCACAAATGAGCTTCTTCGTGGCGAATTCATGGTCTCTTTTATTACTCATGGCAACTGAAAGCACCTTTGGATTTTTCTTCACCCAGAGACAGAATCAGACTCTCTTCTGTTTATTTATGCCAGTTTTAGTCCGTGCGTCTTCTTAGAATTTCGAGTTTCCAGCCAAAACAAAATGGCCAAAGTTACACCCAGAATAGATAATTTGTGCTTCCTTTCGAACAACCGAGTTTGTAAAACATCTATTCAACGCTTTCAGTTGCACCGTTTGCCTGCAAAACACCGCCTAAGGTTTAGAATTTTGTCCGGCTCTCAACAAAATGTCGAAGATAGTGAGAGAGTTGCCGCCAAGGTTCTCACTGGACTTCGGGTCGATGAATTGGAGCAGAAAGCTTCTGTTTTGGATTCGGAGCGTCCGTCGGGAGCTCAAAATGTGTCCCCCTTGACTTCTGATGGCCGTTGGCCACCTTGGAAGAATCTTCCCCAGAGATATAAGCTCATCGGTACGACGTCGCTGGCATTCATTATCTGCAACATGGATAAGGTTATTACTCTTTTGTAATTCTGTTATATACTTGCATGAGTAAGTCTTGTAGTTCATTATAATTTGATGGAAACTAGAAGCGTTGTTTTGCTAATTGCTATAGCACGTGTTTACTTTCTATCTTTATTGAAAAGCTCAAGCTGAGTTTTGTGAAGTCCATTCTCATTTTGTTCTTTGCCCAGAGATCCCTAGTTAAATTTGCTGGCAATTTGGGTTGCTAGCCTTCCACTTTATTATGCGTCAACTGGAATCATCACATGTAGGCTACAGAAGTGTTTCTTAGTTAGCATTTGTTTATGGGGTCTGACTTGTATTAATTAGTTTCATGATTGGGCAGGTGAACTTGAGTGTTGCTGTAATTCCAATGTCTCATCAATTTGGGTGGAATTCATCAGTGGCCGGATTGGTTCAATCATCATTCTTCTGGGGTTATGCATTGAGTCAATTGCCTGGGGGTTGGTTAGCCAAGATATTCGGTGGAAGGTTAGTTTCCAGAGTCAAGAAAAGCTTTTTTCTTTTTTTCCCCTATGGAGCTGGTTTGCAACTTGTTAGTATATACAGATAAGTAAAATTTGTGGGCCTAGGTGCAATGCATGATACTATACAAAGAGTTCAGTGTCCTATGTTAACACACTGAACTAGCGTTGTGCTTCTTAGGTCAGAATATTTCATACATTTCAGATCCAAAATCCTCTGCTGCACTCACAATGGTAGGGCTTAATTTCAAATTGTAAAAGGTAATTATAAACTCAGAAAATGGATGGTGCTCATACTTGAGGGCTTTACGTGGCTTACTTAAGATCCAACCATGTCTTGGGCAAAAAAGGGCGTCATTTATGACACACTATACATGGGCCTTGTGGGACATAGCATCCTCGACATAAAAGTTGTAACTTATGGACTGGAATTTTTTGTGCTATAATGATATGCCAATGAAAGACTATGTCTTAGGCGATGATAACATCTAATTAGGAATTTGGATTATGGAGACCGATGTTAGGCATAACTCTGCCTGACTTATATGTTTCAAATGCTGTGAAAGGTATGCATGTGAAAAATTGGGCAAGAAGACAAAACAAAACATGGGTGAAAATGTATGTATGTTTTGAAAATTAGGGACTTACAAGGTAGATAGTTAAAAAGAAGATTGAGGCTGTAAAGATAGTAAATGAAATTCAAGTTGATCTACCCCCAGAAATAGAGAGCAGAGAACAGAATCAAGATGAAGAGAACCATTAGAAGAAACTTGCTATTGATATTTCACAATGGAATCTTAAAATCAAATGCAGCTAATTTCAATACAATTCTTCAAGCAAAGTTAACCGTTTTCCCCTTTATAAAAAAAAAAAAAGAGAATGACTATATGACAACTTTATTTATTCTGAAAGCACAAATATTAAATAAAGAAACTACTTGATGCTCTTTCTGAAAAGGTCTACTTGGTTAACTGGATGCTCAATAGAAGATGGCAATCTCATGTCAGTTATTAGAAAATTCTATTTCTTTTTTTTTTTTTTTAAATAACTAGAAAATTCTATTTTGATGTTACACTTCTATCTTCTGGGTAATTTAGACGAAGTTCCAAATTTTCAATTGAGTTTCTAGGTTTATGATGTTACACTTCTATCTTCTTTTTGTTTCAGAAAAGTTCTCAAGATTGGAGTATTAACCTGGTCAATTGCCACAGCTCTTGTTCCTGTGCTTGCTGGATATATGCCTGGATTAATCTTTTCCAGGATTTTGGTTAGTAGGTTTTCTTCTTAACCCTTTTTTCTAGATATTCAAGTTTCAATAACGTTCATGGATCCTTGATTAATCTGGCCTCATTAAATTTATTTTTCCATTTGGCTTTCTATTCACTAAAAGTTAGGGTCTGTTTATTGATTCTTTTTTTCCTTGGGGTTTAATTGTTGTTCAACATATTGTCTTGCACTTGTTATTTTTCTCAATTATTAATTACTTTCACTCTATTTCATATATAGGTTGGGATAGGAGAAGGCGTTTCACCATCTGCGGCCACTGATCTAATTGCCAGGCATGTGAACATCTCAATTCATTCTGAAACAATGTGCATTTCGGTTTAAATTGATTATTTGGGTTAATTAGTGCTTCCTTTGTTTAATTTATAATTTTTAGTCTACTTCCTTTTCTATTCTTCATGCTGTTATGACTCACCTTTACGCCGCAACTATTGAAATATCAGTAGTTTTTGAACTTGAGAAGCCCTCGTGGATAACAAGAAATATAGGAAGAATTCTCTGGAGCTTGACAAGTAGTTTCAACCTTCTAAAAGTATACTCACATTCGACCACAGCCTCTCCCCAAAGAAAAATCTACTTAATATTTCATTCTAAGAGAGCATTGATTTGGCATTAATGAGGATATTCTATGCCAAATAGAAGTTCTTGTGCGGACTCTGATAGAAGATTATGAGATAATTTGTGATTCTCATGCTTTGGTAATATGAAACATCTCTGTGAAATGGTTGCTGCATTAGCAAACTATTTTTCAGTATATTTTCTTCTTTCCGTCTCTTGACGATCTTGGCAATTGATCTTCCCAAGCTTTTAGCTATAACAGAAATTTGATTTTATTTTGCATTATTAAGTATCTCTCGCCCATCTAATTTGTTTTATTCATAATGAGTTGCAGGTCAATACCATTGGAGGAGCGCTCACGGGCTGTAGCATTTGTCTTTGGTGGCTTGAGTGTAGGAAGTGTTCTGGGGTTTGTATTTCTAGCATGCAGTCTTATGTTGAAAAGTTAAAAAACTTGTGATTTTCTTTCCACTTTCTTTGTTTGCATTCACCTTTAACACATTGTTAGCTGTCAGGCTTCTGTTGGCTCCTCCCCTTATCCAAAATTTTGGCTGGGAATCGGTATTCTATATATTTGGACTTCTAGGGATTGGTTGGTAAGTAGAAATGACTAATTGTTTGTGGTTTTCATTGCATCAGTTGGTTCAAAGTAGTAAAGCTTCTTCTATTAATGAATAATTGACATGTTATTGCCATAAATTTTAAAGGTTTTTGGGGTTTCAAGTTCTTGAAGAAAGAGAAACACATTCAGCAGCTGAATCTAAGTCGTGTGAGCAATTAATCCGTTTATCTCTTTATGTGCTTTATCAATCTTCTGCTAAGTGACAGCCTATGACTTAACTCATGTTCCCACTAGTCTTTCTTATTGAAGAATCAAGTTCTTTTATACTCAATGCCAAGGGGTGCTGGAGTTAAATTTTGATTAAGTTAATGTCCAATCAATCATCCAGTCTGTATTTTTATTTTTGTTTTTAATCCATTGATTTGGAAATTGCTTTCAAACCCATTTGTACTACCTGCCTACTGTTGTGACTTTGTCTTACTATGTCCATCACTTTTGCTTTCTCCTCCAATACCATTGCCTGAAACAACAGCTAATGCATGACCTGTGCAAATTTGGTTACTGTCGCTGCTAATTTTGTCTCATGGGATGGTCTTTGCCATAATAACCATTCTCTAGCACTTCAGTGTTCCCTGTAGGCTGTAGAATTGGCTCACTAGGTAGCATTTATAATTATCGTGAATCATTCTATCCTATACTGTTATGTTCCATTGTCTCAAATTATTCAGTATATAATTGGACTTGTCATCTATACTCTAGGAATCATATCCTTCATGGGCTATGCTTGAAAAGGGTAGCCTGTAGGCCACTTCATGGGCTATGTTTAAAGGATAGCTTTAGAGTTCAGTTCTTGCTTTCACCATATGTTTACTTATGGTTTGACTGTTGGGTTTTCACTCGTGTTCGATCATCTCAGTGGCCTCCGGTGTTACTGTGCCACCTTCATGGAGTGACTCTCTAGAAAAATTAAATGACTCTCGGAAGGTATGAATCAATAATTTTTGTGACATTCATCTTTGGATTTGATTCTTTCGTGTCTTGTTGGAGAAGGAATGGTATGGTATTGGCGCTTATGGGCTTGGAAGGCTTTTTTCCGAAGCTAAGCTGATCTGCTAACATTATTCAATTATCTGATTGATAACAAGTGCAGACACTTACTTTTTCCTTTTATCACTGACTGAGAGAAAAAAACTAATTGGTTTTAATTACTTGGCTTTAATTTTTACCCTTAATGATTTTTTGCGGTGTAATCCTTCCTTTCTTGAACGAGTAGGTTTATCTACAGCTGACATTTGCTTCATTTTATGCTTTCATACCATAGGATGTACCATGGAGGGCTTTTTTTCAAAGTTCAGCTGTGTGGGCTATGGTATATGTTCACTTCTGTGGTAGCTGGGGTCACTACACTTGTCTATCATGGCTTCCCTCATATTTTAGGTACCTTATGGACATCTGCTGCTTTAGCTCTCTACCTGTGTGCTATGTCTCAGAATTACTGTCAACACTTGTTAGAGAGTTATTGGAAATTTTCTGCACTATTTGATTTATTTGTATTCTTTTATGCTTTTTGTTTTTCTGTTAATCTGAACATTGATCATCGGTATCTTTCATTTACAGGAGTTTTGTTGAATATCTTTTATATAGTAAAAATCAATATTGAAAATTGGAATTGCATATTCTTTACCTAAGTTGTATAAATGCATGAGCTACTTGATGCCTTTTTGTATTTTGCATCTTAAAACTTGCAGGGCTTTGCAGTTAAGTCCTGTTTCTCATAATAAGGGTTGATTATTTAATGCATGTTTTATTTTCTTCATTATTTTTTTAAATAAAAGTTTTGACTGGATAATAAGTTGACTTGGTGAATACATAATGAAAAATGCTATAGAATCTACTTTTCTAAATTAGAGGTTCCAGTAGCTGTCCTCTGGATCTTGTTAAGCATTAAGTTCATAGTTTTTTTTTTTTTTGGCTTCTTCCTTTCCTTAGAACGCACCAATTTCAGCTCAGTATTAATGTTTACGCTAAAAAAAACAAAAAAAAAAAAATCCATGTGAAAGAAGGGTTTAGTTGACAATTACTATGGTGCTTTGATGGGGCTGTGATATAGAAAGCGTCAATTCAAACTGCTTTCTAGTTGCACTGCTAATCACTTTTAGTGCCTTGGCAAGACCTGGAGCTATCTGCTTGTGGCTACTCAGCATTTTTATGAGAAGGTCTAATGTTTACTTGAAGATATGACACTGATACATATAACTGATAAACACTTCTAAGCTTAGTTTTTCCTCCCAAAAAAAATTGTTGTGTTTCTTTTTAAGTTTTGTAATTGATGGAGTAAAAACCCTTCTAGAGATTTAGACATGGTAATCGTTTTCACACATGATTTTATAATTTTAAATTGATGCAGAGCATTTTTATTTCTATTGTTTTCAAGTTTTCCTCTGCGGAAGTTTTAATTCTAGCATCTGAATGTTGTGCAGTGAGGAGCTGAACCTTAACCTTACGGAAGCTGCATGGGTAAGCCTGATTGATGTTTTTGTTTTTGTTTTCGTTTTCCTGGTATCACAATTTCTTTTAAGCCTCTGTGAAGAAAATAAATTCAGATTTCATTCTTTGGAATGGACAAGATGAATTTCATCAGAATAGATATATCAAATTTGAAATATAGATCAAAGAAGATCATGTCTCTGCTGGTATTATAGTTTGATATACGAGAAGTTCAATTGAAACTATGCTATTTGTACTGCTCAGATGGCTGCCATTATATAATGCCCTTGAAAGAAAACTAACATGAGGGCCATTTCTACTAAGTAAAGGTCTTGGTGAGGGCAAAAGAGGCAGGTCCTTGTCTATATCTAGCTTAAGCTGGCCTTGTAGAAGTTCGTGATCTACATGTAAAAGACAATTTAGGGAGCCAATTCATTACTGTAATGGTGATGCAGTTGTGAAAAGCTATGTCCCATCGTTATGGACTTATTTTTCCTTACTATAGTACCGATTGTTTATCACTTTCCCTTGCATGCTAAAAATTTTGAGTTCTTGATCATTTCAGGTGTCTATTCTTCCACCATTAGCTTCAATATTTGTGACTAATGCTGCAGCTCAGTTAGCTGATAGTTTGATTTCTAGAGGAGTTGAAACCACAACGGTATGAGAGGGATTAAAACATTATTAGTTTACTCATTAGCCATTTATCTTCTAAAACTTCAATACTTGATCGGTATAGAACTAGAAACCATATTTCTCATATCAATACATTTCCTTAATATATGGTCGAGAACATAACTTTTACAGAAGTGGAATTTCGTTTGTTGTGGAGAAATTACTTGGTTTGGGCCATTCTGATCAAGCATTTCTCAATAGCATTTGTTATGACTCGTAACTTGATTTGCTGACATTTCAGCAACAACTTAGTATCATGTAAATTTGACTTGAATAATAATTTTCTGATTGTCTGAATTGCTTTAAAAAAAAGGTTCGAAAGATCTGCCAATCAATTGCATTTTTGTCTCCTGCAATCTGCATGACTCTGTCCTCAGTGGATTTAGGGCTACCACATTGGGAGATTGTGGGCATTCTCACGGGTGGCCTAGCCCTCTCTAGCTTTGCCCTGTCAGGTACCAAAGAATCCTGCAAATTTATTTCGTATAACTAGTGGGATCACCTCTCCTTTTTTCTTTGGACTGCTTATATATGTGTGTGTTTTTTGTGCTTATGCAGGACTTTATTGTACCCATCAAGACATGTCTCCTGAATATGCAAGTATTCTTCTGGTATGTAGGCGTAAACTTAATCTCTTGTACCAACCAATTGAAGGATATAAGATTTGCTTCAGTGAATAATCTTAATTACTAAGAACAAATATTTTTGCTTGTTTTGGCCCCAACAACAGCAACAAAGCTGGCATATGCTATCTCAAGTTCTTGTCATCATAAGTCTCTTTTTGTAGTTTCATGTGTCTATCCTTATTCTTGAATCGTTAAAAATAATGATGCCCGGTTTTTTTTTTATTTTGAGACCAAACGCTATAAAGAGACGTGATGATTCTCTGCCTATTTAAAATTTGCCTTCTCTAGTGTTTCTCATTACTTGAGGATACGTTTGGTTTAACAATGGAAAAGAGGATGAGGGAAGAAAAGTTTTTGAATTGCTTATTATATTATTGATATTTCCACTCAACTGTTTATATCTTTTTTTAATGCTTTTTAAAAGTAGGGGCACAAAAGTAACTTTTCACAAAATTACTTTTTTCATTTCATTCCATTTCATTCTATGTATCAAACATCTCTTTACATTTTTGATGTGGTGGAAAGGAATTGATTACAATGCAAAATATTAAAAAAATAAAAAGGGTAGGTTGGTGGGATGTAAAATGACTCTGTCCCTAATTTAAGATGTAATGAAATTAAGTAATCATGACAACACATCAAATATCTCTATTCTTTGTGAAGAGTATCAACGATCTAGCTACAAGTTGATTGTCTTAGTAGCTGCACGGTGCAATGATGAGAGAGAAACACTGTGCACCCATTGTAGGGAAGCGAAAATCCATTTGAACTAACTACTTCATTGAGGCCTTGGTCAAATTGATGGTTGTAATTACCTTTTAGATGAACTTTTGCTCCAATTGCGAGTAAAGATTGAAGAATATATCTACTTTTTCCAGCTAACAACATTTGACTCGTAACTCTTCTAGTTTCAGCTATAGGTCAACAACCATAACGTAATTAGTTTCAAATCCAAGATCAATTGACAGTAACCCTTTGAAAGGTTTTGGTACATGCATATGGCTACCTCTAAAATTCTGCTACTTACTCCTAGAGACTAAATGATTCTTGTCACAAGTAAAAGAACTGAACTTTGGCCTCAATATCTGGTTTATCTTGATCATTCCTTTTATGTTTTCCTCAGGGAATCACTAACACTGTTGGGGCAGTACCTGGAATTGTGGGTGTAGCCCTCACTGGTTATCTTTTAGACTTGACTCATTCATGGAGTGTAAGTTTCCCTTCACTAGATCCCCCCTCCCCCAAAAAAAAATGTGTTTGATTATATGATCTATGTTTGATCTAAAGTTCATCTTTTTTTTCGCCGTGTAGATATCACTATTCGCGCCATCAATCTTCTTCTACTTGACTGGTACATTAGTGTGGTTGGCGTTTGCCAGCAGTAAGCCTCAGAATTTTTCAGAGCAAGAATGATCCTCCTTTCAGTCTTTCATACTTCTGAATACAGCATTAGCAAGTAAAGCAAATCTCAATCGTTCCGAGTTTTTGGCGATGGAGAAAATATCCATTATTTTATATACAAATGGTTCATCTGCAAAAGAGAGAAAAATGGCGTTAATATATGTATAGATGTATTATTTTTCTTGGTGAATGATGTAATGATTTTTCCTTCCTTCCCCCCCCCCCTTTTTGGGGTTTTGAGATTCTTGTAGCAGTTTAATAGATGAATGATGATAATTGATAGGGCACTAAATCTTGTGATGAGGTGCTATAAACACAGGAAAGTCAAAGATATAAGTTGTGATATTGCCATCAATGTTAGGTGTTATTCTTCATCATCAACTTTGGCTTCAATTAGGTGGTTTAGGTTCTAAGCTTTGATGAGATTTATTAATGCCAACGGAATGTCCTACTTCTAACTTAGGGTCTAAGGCAAAAAAAAGAGTTAGATTCTGGGCTCCTGCTCCAAGCTAGTCACAAACTGGCAATTAAACACAGAGCCACGTGAAATGCTTTTCTCTTTTCTTTCTTTGCTTTGTTTCTTTCTCTGGCCAGGGCACGTGCAATGTTACAGTCGCTTTCTTTTTTGGGGTTGGTGGGGCGAGAGAATCTGACGCGGACAAATTGAATTTGTTCCCAGATTTCTGTCATCTTCCTTTGATTGATAAGCCACACACACATTAAAGAGACTCACATTAGGCGTATTCAGGATAAACAGAAGGGATGAAAGTAAAACCTGGTGTTACATTACATGATACCCTCTTCACTCTTGTTTACAAAGCATGTTCAATCATTTTTAACAGATTGAGAAAACTAGTTGTGAAATTAGTTATTTTCAATTCTCATTGAATATATCCATATTTTTAATCATTTTCCTTTTTTTTTCTAACCATATTTTTAATCATTTTCTAAAATTATCCTTTGTAATAAAATTAATTAAATTTCGGGAAAAAAATAAACAAGATTTATTAAATTTATGGTATTGTCTCTCCCCACATAATTAAGTGTACTTAAGAAAAACTAGTAATTAATGCTTCCAGATATATGTAAAATCTCTTATAACAAAAGTATATAAAATAGCATTCAACACTATGGTATTATTTTTCAAGTGCATCCATGATCTAACATAATAATCTTATTTATAATGTATTCAACATTCTTATATATATTTTTGTTGCTTTCAACACATTAGTCTTATTTATAATGAACTAATATCCTAAACTATAATAAAATTTGAGTGCTATATGTAACTGGAAAATAATTATTAAGAGTGTGGATGCACCGTGCCGTGAATAAAATTATAATGCTAAATGCATTTGAGAAAATTAGATGGTAATTTTTTTTATTATAGAATTAGATGATTTCTCTCCGCATTATATAAAGTCTGAAAAATGAGCTGTGAATTATAAATTTCTGAATAAAGTTGCTTGACATAAATTTTATATGATATATTGCTGCTAATTTTTTTAAGTTAGTACAGTTTCTATAAATTAAATATTTTAGATCATTTCAAAAATCAAGTGCACTATTATTCATATGAATTTAAAATATTTTTTAACCTTTTGCTAATTGACTAAGTAACGACTTTTAGAATGATTGAAAAATACAAGTTTGGACTTTTGATCCTATAATTACGACTTCTTTTTTTTTTTTTTTGCCAGAGGTCCTCTGATTAAGACATGAAAATAAGAGAAAAGAGAGAAAGAATTCTAATATAATTTACAAAACAATGTATACGCATACTAATTAATTGTTATATATATATGAATTTTAAGGAAGCTTTTATATGAAACGTTATGGATTGTGAAACAATTTTTTTTCCAATTAGTTTGATTGAAATGAATCTTGAATTCTATTCTTACGTAATTAATTAACAATACAATTCATTCAAATTCAATAATTTTACACCTTTAACTGCAGCAAAGCTGACTGCTAGAAATGTATCCAAAAAAAAAAAAGCTGACTGCTAGAAGCGATGAAGGACTCAATTAAATATGCATCAGAAACTGAATGAACTGAAATCATACACTGGGAGGCATTCAAAATAATCAACAGGCTAGTCTCTATAGTTTACTCCAAATAAAAAATATACAAAAAAAATAAAACTAAAGCCTTTATTCTTCCCCGATAAAAATGAAAAACAAGATATTTTCCACGCATTTCTATCTCATAATTAGAATCATTGCGCAATACAGGAGGAACCCAATTCTTGGTTTCCACTCAAAAGCCATAACCCCCCAAAAAGCAATCAAGCTCGGTAGCTAACCAGCTAGTTGCAAGCAGGAAGAAGAAGATATGGTAAATGGGCAAATACAATTGAGAAAGGAGCAACCCTTATTGGTGTTGAAGTGTTTACAAAAAGAGGGTTCAATTCAGGAATCTCCCCATCTTCATTTATACTAAGAATGTTGCCATTTAGCACCATGCTTTGGCTCTGTATATTCCCATCTTTTGCTGTCAGATGGTACTCTTCTCTTGCTGCTCCATTCTGTTTATTGTGACGCATCTTAATGAATCTTGATCTTTCAACTTGAACTTGACTACTCTTTCTGTGCCATAAACTCGCTGTGCTGTTTAAGGTCACTTCAGCTTCAACTGCAGTGCTATTCAAGTTTATTAGTAGTATTGTGATCCCCTTCTGCAACACAATACAGAGTTTCAAATCAATATTTTTCACAGAAATTATATGATTAGTGGTTTTGTAGAAGTCGATAAACTTATCCGATGGAGACTTAGTAGTATGGGATACCAAGTCACACATTGGGCAATATGGGATTCTCAATGGACTATTTAAATGGGTTGGTCCTTCCACCCCCATAGGTAGTTTTTGGGTAGAATTCCCATCCTACCTAGATACCCATCATTATCAAGATGATATCACTATATGCCTATTGACATTGCTTCTCAATTTGTTTATAAAGGATGTGTATAATTGCATCAGATCTACATCCATGCATCAGACCAGCAATAGTCACAGAGAAAGCGATATAATATCGTGTGACTTTTTATAAAGCCATCATCAATAATGATTTCAAACCTAAGCAAAAACGCAAGTGAGTTCCATCAAAGCCATGTGATGGGTGGGTATATTGAATCACATCATTATAGTTAGGTTGTATTTAATTATTGAGAATAAGATCTACTTATTTGATTTTCTTTCAGTAAGGAGAAAAGCTACTTCATAATCATATTGATAAAGAAATATCACTCACAGACTGCTTTGCGCAGTGTGCATAAGCTCTAATACTTTTGGTCCCTAAAAAGCTAGTCGACAGTACTTGTCTTCCCATGAGTCGGTGCCATAGCAGAGCACTGCAAGTAAGAAAAATTATTAGCCACTAAAAAAATGTTCCGGTAGAACTTTACATTTTAGAGTGAATTTTTCTTTCTTGGATGTTAGGTGCTCACTGAATTATAAATAAGAATCCTGGAGACATAAATCCAAAAATGGAAAGGAAAAAAAGTATGATATGCAAAATTTAATACCTATAGTAATCTGGATTAGGAATGAAGTTAGTAGTATTGAGTAAGCCATAGTTCCCTCCAATCAAACTTTGTCTGCAGTAAGTTTTAGTGTTGTAAGAAGCTGACATACCCATCTGATCTAAATACCTGCAAGTAAGATATTGCAACATTAGCAAGAAATTATACCTAACCCCAGATAGGATAAAGCGTGCGCAAGTGCAAGTGTCTGTAATGAGGAGTTAATTACCAGAAACTGTACACAAATGAATCAGACACAAGATGATGGCCACTATTGTAAGCTCCTCCTGCTTCCCCAACCCATGCAGTTGCAGAGCTCCCTGAGCTTTTCAGTACATCTTTGAGGCCACTGAAGGTTTTAGCCTCTCCATCAAGATATGAAGGATTCAGAATCTTCTCTATAAGGTGATCATCAACTCCTAGATGATCAATGAAGACCAGTGAAGAGTTTAGTGTATTCTCCAAAACATCCCATCACATGAAAATTCTTTGGAGTTGAAAGCAGTCAACAGATCACAGGCCAATCATGCATTATGCTCAAACTTATGAACAAATTGTTACTGTGCACTCTAATAGTGATTGGTGAGATGAGAGATACCTGGACCAAGGTTATAAATGTGGTGGGTGACAACATCCAAAGATTTGCCTGATTTGGTAATAAATTCTTTGAACCAATTTGCATCAAAGAAACCTCCAGGGGCAATGACCAGTGGCTTAGGCTCGATATTTTTGTAAGTCCTTTGAACTATGTCTCTTAAAGCAACTAAGTCAGATGCATATTGATCCGCGGTGATGCTTATCCCCACTCCATTTCCACTCAATTCATTGCCTGACAAACAAAAGTTCCTTCTTTTTAGTTATCCCTTCAACCGTAAGAAGTCATGTCAATATCTAACACGTTGAATACACCAATACTTGAGATTATCTAACAAATGGTGTCTGAGTCTATGTTTCCTAGTTGTAAGAGAACCATTTCTAATGCTCGGTCACTTGTCTCATACTCTACAAAGACGTAAATTGAAGCCTTATTGTCGATTTGGAAATCTTGTTGGTCACTTGAGTTATGAGGCATGCTTTGATCGCTGTGAGCACCCATGATCCAACTCACGGGAAATTAATCATTTAACAAAAAAAGAGAGGCAAAAAAAAGGTCTTCTATAACACAATTATAACAGAAAACTGTGGTTACTTACCGAGCTCCCAGCCATGAATGGTGTAGTTCTTGCTGACAGTGTATCGGATAAAGGATTCTGAATTTGTGTAATCCCAAGGTCCTTTGGCAGGATTTGATTTTAACGACTTTCCTTGTAGAGCATTCAATCCAAATATAATCTTAGCCCTGAAACAAACCTATTATTAATAAATTCAGATTTTTTTTAAAAAAAATAATTTTCCAAGTACACAAAAAATAATTTTCTATTTAGCCCCAAAAAATGAGGGCAAAAACAGAGGTAACAATTTGATAGTAAGAGGGCGTGATTGTTACCCAGATTTCTTGAAGAAGCTGTTCAGCTCATCCCATCTGGCCATTGGAAGGCAACCTTGAGTGAAACCAAACATCTCAGAAGGTTTTCTGACAAACTGAGTACAAGGTAGTCGATTATCTGGAGTATCATATATGACTTTGTCTTGTAAACTGCCTCCTAATCTTATTTTCAATGGCGAAAATGCTGCCCAACAATAATAAACAACGGTTCAAAGAAGAGTACAATGTTTTCAATACGTCATTTTAAGTGAAAACGCTTCGATTGTATGGGAATCTTGAAACGAAAAATTCTCTCGTACCTTTTACTGCGTTCAAGAAAATTTTGTTATTAAGGTCCTGCACAGGAAAATGAAGGAGATAAAAATTTAGAATCCAATGCAATTTACAGAAAAGCTATCTTTTAGCTTTTGTATCGATTTCGCAAGTGAGAATGAAAACTCGTCAGATTAGAAGAACGGTTTATTAAGTTTTAAACATATACTGATATATTGGTTTTATTAAATCCCACTGAAACAGAATCTGGTGATGATGGTGGCCTCAGATTATTGCAATGAGAAAGACAGAGAAATGAAACTGAAAAGAAAATAATCAATACAAGTTTCATAATTACAGAGGTCAGAACAATTATGAACACGTTACTCAGCAACGAGGAGCAAATAGCATTATTACTTCAAAGCTCAAAACAAGAAACAGAGAAAAGTTCACTGGAATCATTTTGCAGCTCTGCTTCAGGATCCTAATCAGACTCCAAGTTCGACAACATCGAGAAATATAAGAAACGACACTGTAAAATGTAGCAAAAACCAGACAAGTTCTGATACAGAGAAGCAAAAACCAGGCAAGTTCGGATACAGAGATTCATTCAAATCAACAAGAGGGAAAAGGACGAATGAATACCAGATTGAGCAGAGAAGCATGACCCCAAGCACATCTTCCATAATCACATTTCTCAGGAGGCCACCAATCCAGAGTGGCACAGACAAAATCTTCATCGATATTTCCAATCGAAGATTTCCCGTTGATAAAAAAAGTGCCTTGCAAAGCAGCTTCACGTCCACCTTCTTCGTTCAGTGTATAGACGATATTGACTCTGAAGCTCATAAAGAACATCCATATGAAGAACCCCAGAAGCTTAATCACCGAACCCATTTTCAGAATCTGCAAAAGCTAAGATCTTTAGAGGTTTTGCTTTTATTGAACGGCAAAGTAAGCCATAGAAGGAAATGAAGAGAGATGAGGCTCACGAGAGAGAAGATATAAAGTGAGTGAGTTTGGTAATTTAATGAGAGAAAATTGTCTTAGCAGTAAAGATATGTGTGTCTGTACAATTGCTTACTGGAAAGGCACTTCATGGGACTTGCTTATGTAAACTCGAAATCGCTTCATAGTTTCGGTATCATCAGTTTTAAAGTAACTATTCTGATGTTTAATTCCACCGAACAACATTGAAATACTAATTTAAATTTAAATTATATTTAATGACTGGAATGAGTTTGATTCTCCCATTAATGCTTTAAATGTTTGGCATTTGACTAGCATGGGACCCAGCATTTAAGAGAGCCCGTGAGTGATTTATTCATGAGGATTTTTATTTTATATCAATATTACACTAAAATATACATTCGATCCTTTTAACTTTACATAAGGTTTTAATTTGGTCTCTTAACTTTAAAAAGTATATTTTTAATCTTTTAACCCCAAAAATATTAGTCTCAAATGATAATGTTCTGTAACAATTGTGGTTATTTTGAATATTAAATTTAATATGTTAGTACTACCTCCAGTTCTTATTATAAGACCCCATTTGACTTTTTGTTTGGTCCTAATTATAAGACCCTAATCCATTTTGTCTCTCATATTTATGTATTTTTTTCCAAAATAATCCTTCTAATAATGATAGTTCTAGCCAATATACTTAATTAGCAAGGATATTTTAGGAATGACAACGCTTATTTATTACAAATAACTAACTTAACTTACTTCCTTAATCTCTTCAAATAAGTCAACTGGGTCTTATAATTAGGACCGGAGGTAGTATTTAGTAATATTTTATCAGTACTTAAGAGCCCAATATTATCATTTTTTGTTAACAATTTTAGGGTTAAAGGACAAAAAATTTACTTTTTAAAGTTGATAGACCAAAATGAAATCTTATATAAAGTTAAATGACTAAAAGCATACTTTACCCTCAATATTACTACTCATCAATTTTGTGATCTTGATATCATTTTATACATTAACTACTATCTCCGGTCCTTATTATAAGAGCCAGTTAACTAATTTGAGGAGATTAAGAAAGTAAGTTGAGTTAGTTATTTGTCCTAAATAGGTGTTGTCTTTCCTAAAATATCCTTGCTAATCAAGTGTATTGACTAGAACTATCATTGTTAGAAGGGTTATTTTGGAAAAAAAAATATAAATATGAGAGACAAAGTGGATTGGGGTCTTATATTTAGGATCAAAATAAAAATTAAACAGGATTTTATATTAAGGACCGGAGGTAGTATTATCGATGATAATGATATTAATGTTTTTATTATTGCATTTTACTAAGATATTGGTGAGCATATTAAAGGATTAAACTATTTTAATACTCCATCCAGTCTTAGATATAAGCTTCACCTTTAAAGATGTGTCTATTTCAAAATATAAGCTTTATTTTTTAATTTGTTTGAGTATTTATTACTTTTTTTCAATTGTGCCCTTAGTTAACTGTATTTAGTACTCTCTCACACATTAATATTACCTTCATATATTCTTTTTTATTATTTTTTTCACTTATTGTCTCTCATTTACTCTCTAAAGGCGAATTTGAGAAAAAATATTTCTGACCTATTTATTATTTTTAACTAATTTTAACTGCTAATTTATTAAATATGATTCGATTATTTGAAGCTCATATATAAGACCAAAGATAGTAACAGTTAATTATAATAGTTATAAATAATAGTAGAATTAAGGTATAATTTTTAATTATTTACACACTAGTAAAAATATAATACAAAATTGCTCAAAATTTAATACCTCGATTCTTTAAAATGTTCTAACTTTCACATGCATATGAATTATGAAAAACATAATATACTCCCTCATGTACTAAAATTACAATATGCTACTCCATTTTAAAGTTATATATTTTTTAATAAAAATTTGAATCTCTCAATGCATTATATGAGGAACTTGTATAATTATTTTCATTAAAAATTTAAATAATATACAAAAGTAATTAGTGAAATTTGTTTAGATGGAAATGATTTTAAAATATATTTTTAAAATTAGAAGTTTAGAACGTGATTATTCTTCATCTTATTTGGACAAAGGTCACCAAAAAGTCACAAAAAAATTACGAAGACAAAATCAAAGTCTATGATAATAGTATATGGGCAGTTCAATGAAAAAAAGAAAAATGTCAATGTGATGTTCTAAGTTCTAACTTTTGCTGGTAAAAAAAAAAAAAAAGTTCTAACTTTTAACAAATTGAGGATTTGGGAAGAAAGTTAAGAATAAGAATAATGGAGAGTTAAAATAAAATGACGTGAGTATGGTTGCCGTTTGTGGGGTCCGAAGTGTCCTTTTATTAAGCAAGTGGACAAAAACTCGATTAGCCAACAAATCAAGGAACTTTTTCTTAAAAAGAAAATGAAAAAAAAAAAAAAAGCAAAGAAAGAAACCAAGGTAAGGAACTTTTCCTCACTTGGATCACATAAATGAAAAATTAATAAGGGGAAATGAAAATGTTATACCTTCCGATTCTAAATGTAGGATCTAATTATTAAGTTAATTTTGATCCTAAATATAATACCTATTTTTTATATTTATCAGTTTTTTTCTAAATTAACCGTATGGATACTCTCTCAACCATAATAATGTAGAAGAGAAAAGAAAGATATTAAGGAAGATGATTATGATGTTTTAGAAAAAATATGTCATATTTTATATAATTAACTAACTTACCTAATTTCCTTAATCTAATCAAATTAGTTAAATAGATCTTATATTAATGATAAGAGGAATATATAAGTAACATATTCTTACATGACAATGATCCTAAATATAAACAATATTTTTTATGTGAAATCTTAAAGAAAAAATTAGTTAAAAATTTTTATTTGTCAAATTAATTAAAGAAAGAAACCTGTAATATATGTAAAAGGTATAAGACCTTTAAGTATTAATAAATATGATAGAGAAAAAGACTATATTATCTTGATAAATATTAATTGCATGCAAAGGATTCTCAATAAAACTTGACAATACTTATTTCCTAAAATCATCAATTTTTTGTGTGGTCATCTTTCTTAGCCATCAACTTGACAATACTTGATAGCTGTATGCAGCAAAAAGGCCTCCCTCTAAAACGCTATGTGGTATTTAATGTATGACAATGACAATTGATAAGGGAGGAAGCAGGAACTGAGAATCACTAAATGCATAAGCCTCAGTCTGTTGTCTCCCTACAAATACAAAAAGACAATTAACAGCTCCACAAATCTTAAAGGCCAACGGCTCCAAGTAGAGCATTCCCCCATTTTCAACTATTCCCGATTTCATTTTGGAGCGCCAGTTTCTCATTTGCAAATGCTTTTTAAGGTAAGATGCTCCTTAATTTAAAGATCTTTTTCACATTAGCATGTCACCTGTGACTGTTTTGTGGGTCTTCATCTGTGTGTTAAATACCATCTACAACTTTATTAGATTTGGGCCATATCGTGTCATATTTTTTAATGAAAAAAATTCTAGCATATGGAAAAATTAGAGAAAACATCTTTGTTGAGAATTTTATCAACGAGAAGGATCACCAGTAGCTTTTTGTGTATAAATATTTGGCTAGTTCTTGCTCTTGATAATGTTTTTTTTTTGTTTTTTTCTTTTTTTGAACTGGAAAGAAGGTCAAGCTCGCCTTGTGGGGAATATAACCCTCCACCTTCCCTCCGTAAAGGGACTACTTTGCCACTATAACAATGCACTAAGTGCTTTCTAATAACATTTGGGAGAATTATAATTAGGTTTTAAGAAAAAAAATAATTAGTCCAAAAATTATTATTTTTTACTTTGAAACTTGTTATTACAAACTGTTTAAATTGTTATTGAGACTTTTTAGTAATTATTTTTTTGGAACTTGATGGTAATTTTTTTCATAAAATATCCCTTAGATTTTTTTGGCCAAGAAAAAGTCCCTTAGATTTTTTTTTTTTTTAATTTTGATGGCCATTTTGTCAAGCCGTTTATTGGCGCTGCTGTGGAAATTTGATTTGGTGAGCTATAGGAATGGCTAAAAGCACCATGTGGGCCAGTAGGAGCTGTAAAAAAAATGGGATAAAGCAAATCAATTATTTGTGAACAAAATATAAAGCATGCATGCATCATATCCGGATCTTGACCCTGGCCCGGATGAGGATAGCCAACCACTATATCCAATCACCTAATTATTTTGTTTGTTTGTTCTGTTTGATCCGAAGGCGCTTTTGTTTGGTGAGGATTTCGTTCTCTTCAGCTCCAAACTAACCTTTGAAACTTATAACTCAAGATTATGACGGGAAATTACATTGTCCTTTTTTATTATTTTTAAATTTTTAATTTAACTAAAGAATTTGTAAATCAGTCTTTATTACTTAAATAAGTTTTCAACCGTATAATATGTATGTATTTTTTACTATTCTAGTCTACATAAATTATATATATATAAAGGAACGTTATAAAATTAGACAATATCACAAAGGGTGAAAGCCAACAAACTAAATTTAATTTTCATTATTTGAAACACTTCCAAAATCAAAAAAATGTTAACATTGAATTCACTAAACATTTTATTTTTTAAAATATTGATAGAGAATAAGATGACGCGTTATTGATGACATTAAAATTTAATAATAAAGATTGAATTAAAAATTATAACTTATAATGATTTACTTGGACATCGGGCAATCCCATTTTATCCGAACCAAAAAGCTTAAATCCCAAATTGAATGTCGCACAAGACATGATTAGATGTTAACAACTTCACTTTAATAAATTCAAGCTAACAGTTTACAAGTTCTTACTAGTTATTTATAACAAAACTCTTGCTGTAAAACTACACTCTTTTAGTAAACTTATGTTCCTATTTAATCACAATATATGTTTAAAAATTAACGAGCTCAATTTAGTAATTCTCAAGCTCTCATTAATTATTCATAATGAAACATTTATAATAAAATTATTGTTGGCACTAGGGCTTCAGCCACCGGCAGGCTAGAACTTGTTAATAACTTGTTAAATTTAGAGGAGTATATTGAATTTTGGATATTTCAATTGGATTTAAAATGAATTTTTTCATATTAATATACTCCACTAGTCCTGTTTATAGACAAAGAGAGAATATATTTTTTTTGTTTCTACTTGTAGGGTATTAAGAGATATTTTTTGTATGGATGTATAATTTTACCTTTTATGTATTATTATATTGACTTTGTTTAGATGAAATATAATGTATATTAAATATGGATAAAGTTAAAAAGTTGTTGAATTTTAAATGAGAACTAATGAAGTTTACAGTTTTTTTTAGAGAGTGTTTGGATATGATCAAAACCATGATTTCAGAAGTGGTTTTACGGTATACGAAATAAATATATGGAGGAGTTTGTCTCGATTTGTGAAAAAGTGTTTCTGAAAAGTGATTATTGGAGTATCCAAACACCCTTTTAGTCTATGTGAAATATGTTGAAAGTAACTTATAAATAAGACTAAAGGAGTATATATTTAATGTTAATATAATTTTTGGTTTCTGAAATTTAAACCTATTTTGGTTTTAATCCTTCAAATTTCAAATACATGGTTTTAGTCTTTAAATATAGTCTGTTTTAAAATGTTGGTCTTTTGAAGTTGTTAAAATATACTAAAATGTTATAAACAGTGTTAAAGTAGTGATATGTATTAATTATATGGCACTTGCCAAATCTTTTGTGGATAACAACCTTTAGCCTCTTGTCTTTTCTTCTTCACAACTCATTTTAGGAGCTATTTACTGCGCTGCATTCTGTTATCACATAAAATCTAGTTAGGTGCCCTATGATGAGTTCACATCACTACTTTTAATGTTATTGGTGATATTTTAATAAATTTCAACACCATTGCATCTTGAGAGACTAACCTTTTAACACAAACTAAGTTTTAGAAACTAAAGTCACGGATTTAAAACATGAGAAATGAAAATAAAAAGGTACTCAAATTTTAGGAAACAAAAATCATATTAACCCACTTAGTTATTTCAAATTTTGCCGATGCAATTGCAGCTTACCGCTGTCATCCACTCTACCAGCTTCACTTTCACATTGGCTTTTTATAATAATAAAAATAATACTTGTCTTTGACCAAAGGTAATGTATATGCGTGAGGGAACCGATGCGCTAGCTTACCCCTATAAATTATTCATCATCCTATCCAAAAAAAGAAAAAAGAAATCCCTATTGATAATTGCTAAGCATTTAGGTCACTAGTTCCTACCTTCTCGCATATCGAGGAAGGATGTTTCATCATGGGGAATAACACTTTGAAAACATTATAATATTAATCTAATTATATTCTTTTTCACCAGACCAAATTAAGTAATTCAATTGCAAAGTTTTTATATTATATTGTCGAGTTTTGAAATATTACAAAAACTTGTTTAGCTAATATACACACTTATGAAAAAGATCAGGAATTTTTTTCTGTATATTAGGTAGATTATTATTTTCTTAAAACATTGATATATTGAAAAGTTGTTAAATTTAAGGGTAAAGTTAATAAGTTTTAAGATTACTTTTTATTCCAATAAAATATATTAAAAGTAATTTATAAATAAAATCAAAAGATTATATTTTTCTATATATACACACATATATTTCTGGAGATATCGTCATACTCGTCTTCCACAATCTGCTAATGATTTGCAGCTTATCTTCTAACTTTTAAGTGCTAATTGCATCTTAGTACTATATATGTATGTTTGTACATGCATAATAATCTGCTTCAAAATTACACATATAAATAAATAAATTTTAGGAAAGAGTTTTTGACAATAATAATTTTTTATTTTTCTCTCTACAAACAAGAAAAAAATAATATATTATCAATCTAAATATAAAAATTAGTTGAAAATTCAATTTATTGTAATATAAGATTTCAATTTATTTTATTTTTATATATTTTTTTATTTTTTAAAATAGCATCTATGAGTATGATGATCACATATATTAAAAAGTTTTTATTCTAATATAAATGATTAATAAAATTATTTTTTTTAAAAATGACATATATTTATTATAAATAACTAGTTTAAGTAATTTTTTTAATATTTATATATTAGTTATTAATTTTTATATTAAAGATTAGAGATGGCAAGAGCTAATAAAGCCAATACCTTTTGGGTGGGCGCAGGACGCGATTTCATTATAAAATTAGTAATAAATTACTCCTTTCGTTTCAAAATGAAAGATGAAAAAAATAATTATAATTAGTAATAAATTTATTTAAAAAATAAATTATTTTTTAAATACATTTTTTGCCAACATTTTAAATGAATTTTTATTTATTAAAAAAATAAGTGAATAATAAATACAGTGAAACTAACCAATAATCAATAGAATAAGAGTAAAAAATAATATTAAAAATTATAGACAAACTATTAATGTTTCTCATAAATAAAAACTTATCAATCTCTTAAAAATAATTTCTTGTACTGCACTAGTCTTATTTAAGAAAAGCTCTTAATATATTTCAATAAAATTAAAAAAATCTTAAATCTCATAAACTTTGTTTCAAAATTTAATAATTTTTTAATTTTATTTCTATTTAGTATATACTCTATAATTTAGTGTCCTGCTCCCATAAAAGATAAACGAATGGTGCATTTATACATGTGAAAAATTTAATAATACGATCATAGAAATAGCCAATAATCTTATAGCTTGGTAGTATGAAAGCTCTCACATAAATAAAAGATGACGGATTTGATCCACATGTAATTTTAAGCATCTATTCCCTCCGTTCCTTATTATAAGAAACAAATAACCGAAGTATGTTGATCAAAAAAATAGTTAAAATTAGTTAAGAACAATTAATGTGTAAAAAGTATAATTTTTTTTCCAAAAATGCCCTCATTAATAAGGAGAGAGAGCATGAGAGAGAACAATTAAATTATTAAAAGAAAGAGAAGTGGGAGGGAGAGAGAGTGTGAGTTGGAGATAATAAATATGGGTAAAATAGGAAATCAACACAAAAAAGTAGAGATAACTTTTAAGTGTCTCTTATATATAGGAACATGTCATAAGCATCAAATGTCTCTTATAATAAGGAACGGAGGGAGTATTCTTACACAAACACACACACAGAGGGGACTCGAGAGAATATTTTGTCTGGTGTTTCATTGGAATTAGTAATTAATTATTATGTTAGCCGTAATTAATTATTATGTTAGCCGAGAAGCGGTGGGGGGTTGAATGGGTTTGAATTTGGGGATAATGAATCGGATTAAACATTTGATTCCTATGAGCACTGCCCAAAGCCAAGCTAGGCCGGTTAAATGAATCTCAATTCAATTTAATCAATTAATTAGGTACTAATTAAAGTTGTTTATTTGCATGTTAAAATTTAGGCAAATGATCTGATATATTGATATTTTGTGTGACAATAGAAAAATGTATTAATCAACAATGATGTAATATTATTGACATTAAGTATTAACTATTTTCATGATATTATGATTTTAAAAAAAAATCAGTTATATGCCATATATTTTTACAACTTTGCAAAATTTATTCTTTAATTGGTATAGTTCGTTGAGGCGAAGGTAAGAAAGAAATGGAAGTGCTCATTTTTACGCAAAGATTTAGCAATTTGTTATAATTGTTTTATTAAAGATCAGACATAGTACTATATCTTTTATTTTCTTTTATTTTATGTTGCCAACGACAGAATATTATATCACAAAATATTAAAAAAAAATACTGCAAGTAAAATATTTCTATAACAATAGGTATATCGATCTAATTATATTAAATATTAGGAAATGAAAGATATGAGCGGCATTCTGTATTTTATTATTTTAAAATTTATAGTGATATTGATGAAGAATGACTAGATCAAACAACAATCAAAATCGAGGTTTTGTTTTCACGTCAAGATTAGCTGTGGCTTTGCGTGCTTTTTTGAAAGCCATTGTTGTTGACAGCTACGTTAGTGTTGATTTTGTCGTCAAGTTATTGGGAATATTCTCTATATGATCAATGAAGAGCCGTAATTAGTTTAAGTATATTTTCTTCCTCTTTTTTCTTAAAACATAATATCTTCGTATTAGAAACAATCATGTTTGATGTGCTCTCAATAGAAATTTGAAGCTTCATTAACAAAAACTAAAACACACAAATTGAGCTGTTTTATAACATTGGACAAAAAATAGCCCCAAGAAGCCCAAGCCTTGAACAACGAAAATGAACCACTGAACACACATAAGCCCAAACACACCTACAAGTAGCAGCAGGGGGAACAAAAGGACTACGTACTACATTTATAGTTGAATCCAACAAACATAACTACTTCATTTTACATACCCAAGTTTTTTTTTAAATTTTTAAAACTACTTTAAAAAGCCAGGGAATAATATTGGAGGATTTTTTTACTATACACATTGAAAATATATACTTCTAGTTGTATTAAAATATCTTTTATCAATTTTCACAATAATTTATTGGATAAAGGTGCATTCTGCAGTCTAATTTTATTTCTCAAATATACCTTGCACTCTAATCTTTTCAATGATGTAATTTTACATATGATTTATTAAATTTAGTGTACTTTAGCAGAATTGTGCCTCCTACATCATTGACATGTTACACAATTTACCATCTATATATTTGATGGCATCTAATAAATGCTCTTTACTCAGTGGCTTGCTTAAATGAGCATCCATTCCTGCCTCTTTGATCTTATTTGCTTTGTCCACATACGCATGAGCTGTTAATGCCATGATAGGAATGTAGACCCCATAACTCTTCTCTATCTCTCTTATCTGCATTGTTGCCTCAAATCCGTCCATCACTTGCATCTGTAAAATCACATAAAGCATAAGATATCAATATATGGTCAACCACTATACATGCCCTCAAAATAAGTAGAGATAACCACAAAATGGAGTGAGGCCTACAATTCAGTATCTCTCTCTCTCCTTACTTTAGGTGGGTAAGGTTGCTTTAGAGAATTTATGTTACTTTACCTCACAGTCCATTATGATATAATCATAAGGAAAATAGGGGAAAGCCACGGTTAGACCCTCTTTAACTAAGTTCACTGCATCTTCGCCATTATTACATTCCATACTTGTCGCACCTAGTTGTTTCAAAGTCTTCAAAGTTATCATACGTTGGCACTCGCAGTCATCAACAACCAAAAATCTTTTGCCACTCAAGGGCTTGTCACTAGTTGAAGTACTACATTCTTGTATCTCTCCATAAGAATGCAGTTGTTCCATCTTCCATGAACAATCACAATCTTGTAGTTCAACATCTTGAAGTGGGGATGCATGAAGTGAGGGAACTTCTATTCTGTCTAATGGAGGTGATTGATATCTTGATATATTAGATTTTTTTGATGTCTTCCTCATTGTAATGTGAAAAATGTCTCTACTTGTTCTTCCTATCTCAGATATGCATGTATAATCCCCGCCAAACTCAGGTAGAAGACTGATAATGTTGAACAAACGAGTACCATGAAATGGCTTAGATAGAACAATGTCATTTGGATCAATCACATCTTCATCTAGTGCTTTGAAATCTACATTCCGCAAAAGTGGCTTGTTTAACCAAACAACCTTACAAGGAATTCTGAGGCCTCTTCTAAACTCAGATATCATTATGCCAAGTTCTGCAAAGGGTGCTGCTAATGCATCAATCACAAGCAGAACTAAACCCAAGGAAACCCCATCTTCTAACTTGTTAAAAAATGAAGAGATATAGTCTGCTGATCCATCTGTAACACTCAAAGGAAATCCTTTGGCTCTAGCATTATTAGAATTGTGGCGTGTAGACTGAGAATTCATATATGATGCTCCTGTAGAGCTTTGGCTGGAATTGCACCCTTTTTGCTTGATCTTCTGGAGAGCATGTGATAAATGTTCCCAATGCTTCACAACCTTAACTTTAATCCCTAATCTCTCCATGAACCTTTTGGTAATCCTTCGACGCCCCTCATTTTGAATCAGAAGAATAACACGAGAATCCCCTAACCTATTAGAGGCAAAAATAGGTAATCTTGGACTTGGGGAACATGTGCTAGAACCAGAACTAGGTTTGTTTATATGTTGTCCTTGATGTTGATCTAAATTATTAACCTCCCTAGTGCTATTATTGCTACCAGTGACTGTCTCACTCACGGCAAGGAGGACACTAAATCTAAAGCATGTTCCTTTTTCACCAATTTCCTTGTCCACAATTTCAATATCCCCATGCATCAAATGTACCTACAAAAAGTATTTTTGTAATTTAGTACTAACTTTGTTTGGAATAAATGAGAAGAAGAAAGAAGGTGCCTACCAGTGATTGCACAATACCAAGTCCCAAGCCAGTCCCTTCTAGTCCCAAAGCAGTTTCTTTGACTTGAACATAATTCTCAAACACTGACGCTTGCTTCTCTTTAGGAATTCCTTTTCCAGTGTCATCAACTTCAAACACAAACTCCAAGTAGTTTGGGTCTTGCTGGGTTGTATTAGTCAAGGCTTCTACATCAATATCCGCTTCATTTTTCTCGCAGCATAAGCGTGAAAAGAGTTTCATGAAACTGTATCTGTGAGTAGAAATTATTGAGTTCTGAAAAGTTGGCTTTTGAGCCCAAGCTCGAACTACTATGTGTCCTTTATCAGTAAATTTAACAGCATTACTCAATAAATTACACAAAACTTGTTGAAGCTTTCCTTTGTCACCTTTAACATGTGAATATCTTATCATAGAACCATCACAGTGGTCTAATACAAGATCTACACCTTTCTTCATAGCCAAAGGATGAAATAAGTCAACTTTATCTTCTACAAACTGGGAGAGATCAAATTCCTGTTCCTCAAGTTGCATTTTCCCTGCTTCAATTTTACTTGTATCAAGAATAGAATTCAACAGCCCTATAAGCATAATACAAGTTAGGACCTTCCTTGAAAGTTAAAGACAAAAAGATGAGTTGTTCATATCCAAGAATAAAAAAATAAATACCTTGGATTAACAATTTTACCTTGTAAGTCTTTTATACAAGCACCCATTTGCTTTAAATTGGTCTCTAGTTCTGAACCAGCAATCACTTCTTCACGAGAAATCTCAACCAAACCAGTAAGTCCAGCAAGAGAAGCACGAATATCATGGCTTGCACTGGAAAATGCGAGACTCTTGTTCATACTCTTCCTCTCAGCTTGTTGAGTGGCTTCCATTTGTTTGATTAGAGAGGCACACAAATGCATCTCTCTCCAACCGACTATAGTATTTAGTAATAGAAAACTGAAGACGGAGATCAATACAGTAACTATCATACAACTCATTAGCACTAACCCCAGTTTTCTACTCTTATGTGCAAAGGCCACCAATCCACCATTTTGTGGTATTGCTATGACGTATACCTGAAATATAACCAAACTATATATGATTATAACTTAAACTTGCAAAACATGATTAGTTTTCCTTAACAAAGTAATAAGATTCAGAGCCTAATAAACAATATTTGATTTTGTTGCAAATAGTTTCATATTAGGATTCACTGAACACGTAAAATAATTAGAACATACCGAATCTACTCCCATTACATCAATTGATGAGCAGCATGTCAAATACTGAGTAGCCCCAACTTTTAAAACTGAAGCAGAAGCTTCATCCTTGCATGAAACATAGCCCTGATAACTCTTTTGGTTGCCATTTGATTTGATTGAATGGAAGGAAGCTGTATCATTAGAGAATTCTATATCTATATGGATTGTTTGGAATCCTTGGAGAATCACTTTCCCATCCTTAGAAGCCAAATATAACAAGCTTTCACCTTGATGCCTAATAGGAGTGACGAAATTAATAATAGAAGTCGCAGCAAACCCTAATGAGATCACTTCTGTTCTTGATATTCTTACTGAATTAACATATAAAATTTGATGATCATTGCTCCACATGGATCCTAATGAGGAATATCCATGGGAACTATTTACTACTTCCTGAATCTTACTTGCATTAATTGGACGCTCATATATTTTGGATTCACCATATAATCCTCCGGTGCTAGGGTTTACAGGTTGAACATAGTACATCAGTTTTGAAGCATCCAAGGGAGAAGAAAACGAAGAGTTAGAGTACAATGCTAGAGTTCGATCATGGTCAATATAGTATGAGAAGAAGAGACCTTCCATATCAAAGTATGAGATCTCAGTCAAGTAAGGAATCATCCGAAATGCTTGAAACAACACTGGACCAACCTGTAATTAAACAAAATTTTCTTAAACAAGAAAAGAAAAGGGATTGAAATTAGAAAGAGTCATGTTTGTATGTGATGAGAAAACCAAAAAGATACCAACTTTCGTCTGAATGTCAAAGAAGGAGAAATTGGTCGTCTTGTTGAAGGTTGAACCCAGAAGGCTAGCTAAATTGGTTGATGATGAATTCAAAGGGTGTAATAGTTTTGTTGAGTGGGAAATTTCATATTGCAACTCTGAAAGCATATTTTGTGAGTTTGAATTCACTCGCTGCTCAATGTTTCTAAGGATCACATACCAGGACGGAATCAATAACAAGAGAACTACGAGTCCAGAAAATGCCTGCAACAAATGTCCATGACAAGTCAACTGAGAATTGCTGATTCGAGCATTTGAAGAGATAAAAACATTAGTTAAATTCGTTAATTATAAGTATATATTGATATTTCTAAACTATCTTTGTAAGAATCACAAATATTTGAGAAAAAAAAGAGGATATATTTGAAAGACAAAGTTTATTGAGATTTTATATTTAACACTAAATCCAACTCCTAATTACTAATTAGCTCTTATATAATCAAAGATGGTACTCCGGTTAATATGAGAACTAGATAGTAACTAATTTATACTCCATCTTTTTTTATAAAAAAACATTTGATCAATTATGTAAATCAAAAGGTTCATAAAAAAAATGGTGAAATACAATAAATATGTAAAAATAGTAAATTTTTTCCTAAAAAAATACTCTTATTTATGAGTAATAAAGAGTATGAGAGAGAGAGAGAGAGAGAAACTATGAAAATTATTGAAATAAAGAGATTATGGAAGAAAGAATGTGTAATAGAGAGGTAAACAAATGATGTTGCATGAATGAGAAAATATATTAAATATTAAAGTATGTAATTAATGGGACAAAATGGGAGACTGGCAAAAAAAATTGAGATTGTATATGTCTCTTGCCAAAAAAATTTTGATATTGTATGTCACTTATAAATAGAGATAGGATAGACGCGATAGTTGTTCTTTATAAAAAGATACAGAGGGAGTAGAAAGTAACAAAATTAACTAACTTAATTATTTAAAAAAAATATGTATTTGTTTCTTAAAGTATCCTTTTTAATCTAGAAAGTCTTACTAATATCTATAGTTAAGAATGAGAATTTAAAAAGAAAATTATAAATTTAAAAAATAAAATAGATTGAGGTATTTATATTTACTTCAAAATAAACTCTACTAATAATTCTTACATTCATGGCCTTTTGGTCGGTCTTTTCTTTGGAGATGAACTCAATGTAGGTTATATTTTGAGAGATTAGTGCCCTAAGTTCTCAAAATAAGTTGGGGTCAAAATAATATTTATTAAATGTAAGACAGGCTGATGCATGAAGAAGTGCTCTGAATAATTTAAGATGGTGATTTCACAGTGGGGAAAAAATCTTTCAATAATATTTAAGTTCTATGATATGATTATCTATCCTACTGCAAAATCTTAAACAAATAGTAATAAATTGTAAACCTAGAGTGAAAAAATGAAATTGGACTGCCAAGCAAATATAAGTATCCAATTATGAAGATCCAACGTTTCGAAAAATCAAAGGAACAAATTAACAAAGATAGATATACACTAGACACCTACACATTACATACTTACCGAATTTTAATAAAAAAAATCAAGAGGAGCAGAATTAATATTTAATATGTAATACTAATGATAATAGATACTACCTACAGTCCTTAATATAAGAAGTAATTGACTAATTTAATTAAATTAAAAAAAATAATTAAGTTAGCTATTTGTAATAAATAGATAGTCTCTCCTAAAATATCCTTACTAATCAAGTATATTAACTTGAACTACCATTTGATAAAACATTTAACATGATAACAACTACAAAGATTACCTCAGGAAAAAAATAGATAAATATGAAAGATAAAGTGGATTGATGTTTTATATTTAAAATCAAATTAAAAGTCAAACTAACTATTATATTAAGAACCGGAGGTAGTATGAATTAGTTTTATTAAAAACAATTAACTAAATTTAAAAAAATCACGACAAATACAACTCTTTTTCTTTTTACCAAATCTTATCGTGGATAAACTGTATTATTAAAAAAATTGAGAACAAATTATTATTCAAAGAGTGATTAGGAGAATAAAAAAGACTATGTTCATTAATTCCTAAAATTAAAGAATTAATCATTAACTCAAATCTATACATATCAATAATCAGACATACTTGTTAAATGTTATTCTCCCTTCAACATAGGGTTAATATACAAATTTATCTTAAAAAATTTTAATCAAGAGTATTGGGAACCCAAATATTTTTTTGGGTAACACTCAACATTAGTTTTATTAAATACCTAACATTTTTTAATGAAAACTTTCAAGAAAAATTTACATCTTAACCCTTTAGTATAAGTACTTTAGATGAACATACGTACCTACATACATATATACATAAACTCAGAACAATTCGGAAACATATACATGTGATTAAAAAATTTGACATAATAAATATAAGAAACTTGATCAAAGTAGTTTTCTATAAACAATCAGAACAAAATTAAGGATTTGGTCATACTAATTAAAATTCAAGGCCCCGTTTGGTTATCCTAATGGAAAGATAATCTTTTTTTCATTGTAAGATTATCTAAGATATAATCGAATTGTGACTGCAAACACATAAACACACCATAAAGTACAACTCCACTAGAAGGCAGAAACCGTAGGTTGAGGTTTTTGAATCAAAGTACAGTACCCGAAAACATATATGTGGCCACGAAACCACGATCAACATCTAAATACTAAAATACAAATACACATGCACACACGCACATATATAATTCTCAATTATGTCTTGTCCCGATAATGTAACCCAAAATTCTGATTTAAAGCAAGAATATGAGTTGTTTAACAGTAGTGATGAAATAAAGAAGAGGCAGAAAGAGAAACATTACCGAGGTTGCGCACAAGAGTTTGAATCCCATAACGTATTTGTCTATCTATCAGAGAAGGATGAGACTTTGTTTATTTCACCACTCTTGCTTTCTCTCCTTCCCAAATCTTTTATATATATAACTTCCCTGAAAGTCCAACCCTTTTTTTTTCCGAATTAAAGGGACATACACTAACGGCATAAGATTATAAATAAGATCAAATCCGCGATCTTTTATTTATAAATAAGCCATCACACCACTAACCTACATGGCTATTGACAAAGGATAGGTTTTTCAGGGAAAGAAAATCTTGGGCTCTGGGCGGAATCAATCGCTGTTATTGCTGATTTCTTTTATCTACTTTCCTTTTCCTTTTGTGATCGTTAGCCAGCAATCTGCATTCATTACATTTTGCCCTCTAATTCCTCATCTTTTCTTCCTTTCTATATATATATATATATATATATATATATATATATATAAATGGAGAATTAATTGGTGCATTAATTGCATGATTTAAGGGATAGTGAAACGAGCGCATGTCGAATATGTATAGGTAGTAAATCATGATTGTATTTATCGCCATTGAGATACTTACGTGATGTGATGTTTGCAAATTAAGAAAGAAAGAGGTGCAAAATTGATGCAATAATGATTTATTTTTGTTTTGGGTGCTCGAAACTATAACGATAACATATTAATTTATGTATTTTATATGTACAAAATTATAAATTATAATTCTATTAATTTGTATTATTATGGATAAATTATCTTAGTTACTTTCAATTTACTTTCTTTTTTTCAGTTGTTACTTCCATTGCCAACAAAATACCCCCAGAGTACATGGTTATCATTTTATTTGATAACATATTATTAGTGGGGTTCTCTGTCTACTTTTCATCGCCAATTTAGAGCAATAAATTGAGATTTTCACTAAATACACAATAATCATTTTTTTTATTTATATTGGTGGACAAATTCAAAATTATCCTGAGTTCGAACAGGGTGTGAATTATCGTTAAATATAATTTTATCATAACTTGATTTCCTATTCATTATAGTGTTCTAATTTTTAGGTTGACTTATCACATTTATTGTAATTATTGTCATTGATTTGATTGTATTTCTTTAAAATTTTGTATTTAGTTAGAGCTTCTAGGTCTATTCTATATAAATTCCCATAAACAAAATAAATATACACGAATATTATTTTTTCCCATTATGCATTTTGTTAGTTTTCTCTTTATTAACTTGATCCAATACAATCAGCTTTTCATGGCGACAGGGTCAAAAGACATAAACTTCCTGACTAATAATCAATTAATGGATGGTTTGGTGCTAATGAAAGAAAAATCAATTTACCTCAACCATGATATAACACGAAGGCTAAACTTTAACCTGACAGTGATACCAGGTTTTATAATTTTTTTTAACACTTTTTTCAAAAAGAAAATCAATGGTTGAACAAATAAAGCAATAAATGTTAATAAATAATAGTTTAATGATTTAAAAATATATAGGGTCGCATTATTTGCAAGCCTTTAACAGAGCTTTCATCTTAAAACGTGTGTAAATGTATAAAACTTACTCTAATTCATTTATTAATTAATAAAATATGAGCACGTTTTAACGAAACAAATTATGATATGAAATTTGAATCCTTTATATTTCATTCATCAAATAACAATTACATGCAAATTGTCAAAGGATGTTTAGCTGGTTTGGATTTGCTTCTATAAGTGCTTATAAACACGTTTTATATAAGTTGAGACAAAACTCTCATCACATGCTTATTTTTATTCCGTCAATCATAATTAAAAATCTTCTTTGAGCTTGTTTAAAATGACTTATAAGTAATTTTTCAATCATGATTTACAAAATACGAGATAAGTATGTGAGAAAAGTTTTATCTCAACTTATATAAAACATGTTTATAAATAATTTTAAATGCTAATCCAAATATGACCTTTTAAGTTATTCCAAACTAACCCAACATCCTTGTAAATCTTTTGTAACAAGTTTTTCAATAATCTCATGTTAATGGTCTTGCCACGTTTAAACAATCTTTGTAACTCTTATATCAAACCAAATAAACCTGTCCTTTTACATAAAATCACAATCACTGGGTAGTTTTCACTCAAGTGCTTGTTGTATGGTATGCAAACCTTTAGTTTGTACTAATTATTATGTGATCAAGGATCTTGATTCTCTAGTGACATCAATAAGCTTCTATGCACTTTAATACCATTGATTGATCTCATCCAAATTTAAACATAATGAATGGACTTAATGATAAAGTCTGTACAAAAATTTGTCAAACAAATTCCTCACCGCAGGCCGATATGTGTGTGTATGTGTCAACACATTCATCTGACCATCAAAAACTCTATTTCACATCAAGAGGAATGTCACAAGGAATGAGACTATTCGGCATAATTAATAGAAATATCAAGGAAAAAAAATAAAATTCAACAAGATAAAAAAGATTTGAATTGCTACCTCTTACGATATAAGAAGCATTTTCCTATTTTAAAAGATGAATGGAACAGATAAATTAGCAATGCGGCTATGATGCTCGCTGCTCTGAGCAATTTGGTTCAAACTAGTCCAAGATTTCCTTCTTCTTTTGCTTGATGTGCTAATTGTTTTTTCTGCATCTTTTTTTGCAGACATGCTCGGAGGTTCAGATGCTTTATTAGACCCCAACCTATTTCTCTTTCTTTTACTTCCTTCCAAAGCTGGACTATGTATTGTGGGAACGTCTGTGGCTGCTGTTGCTTGGGAAACAAACATATTTGTTTCATTGGCTTCATCTTTGTTCATAATTCTCTTTTCTGGTTTGCCAGATTCATGTGATGGGATTTGTTGATGTTTAGATTCCCTTGATGATTTTTCTTTTGATGGGCATATCCCCTTCATATGTCCCTTAAAGGTCCCTTTCTTCAGATTCTGATGCAAACAGTAATGGCACTTGTACACCACATTATTTTGAGTGACATTGGCAAACTTCTTTCGCCGACGCTTGCCCTTTGTTCTTCTCGTCTCAATTCGTATAGTACAGTTAAAGCCTGGATGAAGAACAATTTCACACCTGCAAAGCAGTCAAATGGTGATCATGTGGTTGCTATACATACTTTTAAATGGCTATTATAAAACTCACAATTACCATTACAATCAGTGGGTGAACTTAAGATAGCTTTAGCAGTAACTCCAATTAGATATTCCAACTAATTTATAAGTGATCCAAAATAGATTTTTGTCTGATATAGGTAGCACCATCAATAATAACTGAAAGTTATTGTTAGCCTGCTGAAACTTAAAAAAGAGTGTACAGGCTTGAAGATTATCTCAAGTTTCTTTGGTTTGATAGTGTTCAATTATAACATCAACAAAAAAAAGAAAAAGAAAAAGAAAAAAGAAACCAAAAGCTTCCAGAATACATCACACGGATGCTGAGCATCAATGTTGATAAAAGCAGAATGCTACAACAACAACAACAAAAGCTTATTCCACCAAGTGGCGATGGCTACAAGGATTGCATGTTGCCATTGAGAACAAATCATGGCTAAAGTTGAAATAACAGCTTTTTGTGTAAACCATGTTTATATTTATCGATTTATATCCTGGGGAGAAATCCTAGTACAGTGACAACACGACTTTACAAAATTACGCAATTAACTTGAAACTGCAGACTTATATAATATATGGATCATATGTTATCATTTACTCATGTCACAATTTCCATTGATGTTTACCAAAGTAAATAAAAGCATAGTAACAGGATGATAAAAAGGACTAGAGAGAAACAATTGTGCAAATGAAAAGAATATGGTAAAAATATGGTAAAAACAAATGGAAGAGCAAACCTCTCACAAGTTATTAAAGAAGGATCATGTGGTACTCCCATGGCCTCCTCAGCACTAGCAAAGGATTGCCCATAGAAGGCTCCCAAAGATGGTATTGAAACCTCACTACTGGCCCATACTGCTAGGCTTTTCAAGTGTTCAAGCTTCAACATTGACCTGACGTTTGAGCCTGTGTTCTTATGCAACTTCCCAGTGGCTTCTTCCCTTAATGATATAGGATTCTGAGGCCCAGTCGTTGAATTTGGTAATTTTTTTGCTCCTCCTTTCTTTCCCATATTTAGCTTAAGACCTTACTTCGTTCTTGTTAGGAGTTTCAACAAGCACCTACCATGCAATCAACAACATATTTTGAAAACCAATTTTTGAGAGAAATGTTTAGGTTACCTACTAACTTGACAGTTACAGAACAAAGTTTTCAGAGCTAATAATAGAATCATATCCAAAAACTAAACAAGAAACGACAACTTGCAAAATGAGATGCCTGTCCTAATCAACTTCTCGCTGCAGTTCCCAAACCGTCAGTGGCATAAACAAGGAGAGAAGAAAACGTAGTCACTAACTAATAATGAACATAGTAATCAAAGAATGAATATGAAGATACCTAATGCAAAAGACACCCAATCTACTCCAACTTTCGGCCAGCCACGTAGCTCTATCTTCCTCCCCTATTGAAGAGTCCCAAAACGCCGATTGTAAGCTCTGTTATAGAGCTGCCCAATTAAAGATTAGAAAAGAGAAGAATGAAGAAGAAACTACAATGTTACACAATCCCAAAAGCTTTGACCGAAGAACCCACTTCCATCACAAAAGAAGAAGAAATCTTGGTTGACGGAAGCAACAGACGAACCTAGAAAGGGAGATGACGCGAAGATAACGGCGAGGGTGGATAAGAATCCGACGATGCCCTATGCTGGAAGCGAGTCCGAAAACTGAGTTACAAAAATTTCTTCGCTGTTTTTGCCGTTGAGCTGCTCGTAGTCGACTGGGGAGGAGGAACTCAGCAACCCAAACAGAAAGGTTTGCTGATTTTTTATTATTTGCGATACAAAGCCTAAGCTTGAGACTCAGAGCGGAAAAAAACGGACGAGTCCGTCGGGTCATCCAGTTTAAACCCGTTTACATTGAGAGTCCGGTTTGTGACTTGAAGCCTCCAAAAACAAAATGGGCTTAAAAACACTGGCTTTGTAGGGCCCAAAATTAAATGGTCCAGCCATTTAAGCCTGCTACTTTATTTTGTATTTTTATTTTAAACTAAATTGAATATTAATATTATTACTGTATTTATTGCTTTTTTTAACCCAAAAAAATATCTTAAGAACATAAAAGGTAAATCACTCTCACTCATTCATGACAATCTTGGATGAAATGGGAATTGTGATTTTAGGCTAGGGATTAAACAATTATAAACAAAGGGACAATTTATTTTGGCTAAAATTAGATTAATAATTATTTTATCACAATTCTCTCTTAATTTATTCATTTTCCAGCGAACTTATGAGATTTAAAACAAATGTAAGAATAGGAGAGTGTGTGTAATGAAGACACATGATCTCATTTGAACTCTTAATCAAACTTAATTAATATTTTTAACTTCAAAATTTTGGGATGGAGTGTTTTGTACAAGTATTAGAAGTTAATTTGTATAGCAATAATCAAATTTTAAATGCTAATAATCTGATTTGTGCATATGATTAATAATAATTTAATGAAATTTCGGTTAGGCCAAAAATAAAATTTGCATTAGTCCTATTCGTTTATCAAATAAATGTATACCCTTATAAATATGAAATTTCTAACGTCGTGCGTGTCTTAGTAGCATTTAAATCTCCTTTTTTTTTTTGTCAACAAAAAATTCATTAAAAAGTGAGACATTTTATAATATTTTTTCTTTTTCCACTTATTGGCAGCATTATGCCTTGCTCTAAACATGAAAGAGGAAAAACTCAAGGAATTGATTAATCGTATCTATTACTGAGTGTTTAAATATGGCTAAATTGTTAATGATATTTGTGTTTGTAACTTAATTTTATATTTTTTAGGGATAATTAATCTCCGGGTCCTTATAGTTTCACCTGATTTTCAATTAGATCCTTATAAAAAATTTTCTTTTTATCAAGTCCTTTTAATTTTACATGTTTTTACTTAGGTCCCTCCTTTTTTTTTTCTTTTTATCAGGTCCTTATAGTTTCACTTAATTTTTAATTAGGTCATTTGTTATTTTTAAAAAATTATTTATTAACTTTATTCTTTAAAATTAATTTCATTTTAAACTAATATTATATAATTGGAAAAAAAATAATTAATGTAATCATTTAGTAATTAATAATTAATCAGAATAATTAATTATACTTAAATATAAATTATTTATAATTATATTCTAATTTTAGAAAATTTTATTATTATAATTTGAATTTTATAATTATAAAAATCAGAATTGAAAAATAAATAATATATTTGTTTAACTAAAAATTTAAAAGAATATTAACATAAGATTTTTATGATAATTTATTATTTTTAGAATATTATTATTTATAGAATAAAGAATAAAAACTACAAGGACTTAATTAAAAATAAAGTAAAACAATAAGGACGTGATAAAAAGAAAAAAAAATTATAAGGACCTGATTAAAAACGTGTGAAAGTATAAGGACCTGATAAAAAGAAAAAAAATTACAGGGACCTGATTAAAAACCAGTTAAGACTATGAGAACTTGCCTATTAATTATCCCTATTTTTTATTATAAATTTTATTGTTTTATGTCAATTTCTCCAAAAATATCTAAAAAAAGTTATGTTTTTTTTGGCTAAACAGGCCTAAAGCTTACAGACTGACCTAAGCCCGCGAGTTTAAGGGCCATGTTTCATTATAAGGGTGTTATTTAGAAGTCAGGCTAAAACAAACAAGCTCATTTAAACCCGCAACCCTGAAGTGCCGGCTCATTTTCTCAGTGCTAATTGAGATAAACTAACTAAGAAATGTTCAGTTTTTCATTAAAAAAAATCCTTGATACAAAAGCCCAGAGAGAATTAGCAAACCTATAGAAGAACAAATAGTTTTTCCTTCAAAACAAACCCAAGCATAGAAGTGGGAACACCGGCCCTACAAGGCCAGCCTTGCTTAAAAGGACTGCCTTACATAATCAAAATTTTAAAAATACCCCAATTTGCTAGGCCTGACCCTTAAGCTAATGGACTTAGGGCCGGCCTGCGGGCTTTCAGCTCGTTTAAAAAAAATGCTATTTTTGATATTTCTCATATTTTTATAAAAAAATGAAAAATAAACTGATAAAATTATTAATAAAATACTTAAATATGAATAAAATTAAGTTACAAATACTAAATATCATCATATAAATATCCATCAACATCCAAAAACATCTAAAACATTCATTAACAAGATAATAACATTCAAAAGTTTTATTTGTAGTGTAAATGTGCAATAAACAAATACTATCATTAACCTTTTAAAACTTCATTATTGTTATAATCAATTACTCTTCTTCATAAGTATGCTTTTCTTTCATAACAAAAATATCAACTTTTTCTTCTTTATAGGAATTTGACTTTTAAATTTTATAGTCTAGCTATTATTTTACTTTAGTTTGAAAAACATTATTGTTGAAATTATAAATTTCTAATTCAAATTATAGAATCACAAGTTATATAAGTATAAAAATACTATATATATAGTTTAAAAATATCAACACATATAATATAAATCAAATCATTATTAAAGTCCAAATTAACCTATTTTTTAAAAATTTAATTAGACAAATTATTGTCGAAAACTGAATAAATCAAACCATTACGTGAAATTTAATTTTAAATTTATAATAATAACTAAATATTTGAAATATCATTAACAATGTAAAAAAATTAATAATATTATAATTACATAAAAAAAATTTAAAAAACAAAAAAAATAAAAAGACCTGAACGGGTCGGCCCTCAGCCTTGCAGGGCCGACTTTTTAAACCCTCGGCTCTACAGGGCCAACCCTATAGGGCGTGTTTTTCATTTAAGGGAAAAAATTTCAAACTCGACCTTCATAATTTTCAGGCCTAAACGGGCCGGCCCGACTGACTCGACCCGTTTTTCCGGCTCTACCCAAGCACCCAAAGTTGGTAAAATCGACAAGCCCCATTTAAATTGGTTTAAACTCGCCTAATATGTTTTTTTGCTTGAGGTGCATTTTAACCATTTAAATTATTATATTTGTTCAAGTTTTTCAACTAGCATTTGTTTAAAATTTCCTTAATCCTTAATAAACTACATCATACAAAAATATCAATATATTCATGCCATTATCAATCACTTTTCTATCAAGGCTCAGGGTACTGTTTGATTTGATTTATTTTTGGTTATTTGGATTTAGTTTGGTAAGTTGAAAATGGCCTAAAGTTGGATGGCCAAGCAAGAGCCACTCTGTTTTCGCACCTCTACATGCATTCATCTCATACATTAGGTTATTTATGATAGTGTTATGTCCTATACTGGGAAAATTGAAGAAAACTTCTTCATTGAAAAGTTTATTAGTAGAAAAGACCTAAACTGGAGTATTGTGTTTTCCAAAATATTAGTACTCCGCACATGAGGGGGGGGGAATATTAGCTCCTTCTAGCTAATATAATTTCTAATGGGGGACTTTTTGTCAAATTTCCCAACATAATTTTAATCTGCTTTAAAAAGAATTAAACTAAACATCTCAAACATTATAATTACAACATATGTATTTACCTTTTTTCCTAAGAAAGTACTCATGCCAAGGGACAACATCAATACCAATTCATGAGAATCATAAGCAAAGAAACAAAGCAACCGAAAATAATTGATATTTTGGGCTCCTCAAATCAAAGCATCTAAAGCAATTTCTTGACACATTGATTAGCAGCAAAAATATCCTAATACCTGAGCTTGAAATTTTCGACCTGGAAAAGAGAACGAGAAGAGGTGATGGAGACTGATAGAAGAACAGAGTGCGAGCATGTAGCCAAGGCTGAGCAATGATAATGATGAAAGCTTGCGTAATTAACTCACTGCCATCTGAGTCTCTCATGGAGCCAGATGATGATGATGAAAAGAACTTGAGAAGCGAATGTGCGAAGCACACAAGAAGACAGGGGAACTAGCTGGCGAATGGGAGAGAGCTTAGGAGATTAGTGTGGCGCGACCCACTGTGAGTCTATGACCTGCAATTGGGAGATAGCGACAGCAAGGGAAGGGGATGAACAGCAAGGCGGTGACCCTAATTTTAAAGTAATTTTAAAAATATTAATCTATGTGCACATATACATCCAGGACGGAACGGCTCAACCCGTCCTGTCCCATTCCGGTTTTTTTTTGTCCTCTCCTAATTTTTCTCATCCTGAAAAATTTTAAGATGGGCCTATCCCGTTCTAATATAATTGGGACCGGTACGAGTCAATTGGGACGAGTCAATTTTATACACTCTTTACACAACATGATTCCAACAAGCTGGGAGCTGATTCTCAAAAAAACTAAGACATCAACGCAATGCCTATGCCATGCCTAGATCCTCTTAAACCAGAGCTGTCTCGTTCATTTTACCTGCAAACCGGCTCCGATGACCGGACTGCATTTCATCCTTAAATGTATTAGAGCATGCCTCTCCTACATAACACCCATGTTCTGCCAGCCAATGTCTCTGGCTCTTTTCTACAATTACTGTTCATATGTCGGAAACCCCCCCCCCCCAAATGTCTGATCTTGGAACCTGGTAGTGCTACGATCATTTTGTAACTTTTGATGGTTTTATTAACAATTAAGATAATTTTCGAATCTTCGAATTCACTCTCATTTTGATTTTGGTCCCTTAAATTTTAAACAATAAATTTTAACCCCTCAAGTTTCATTTCATCTAAAACATCGGTTTTTATAATTTAATAAAAATTGAAATCATTTTGTCTTTTAAGAAACCAAAATCTATTATTTAAAATTTGAGGGATCAAAACTAAAACGAAAGTAAACTTAAATATCATAAATTATATTAACCCTTTTATTAATATATTTAATCATTTTACTGGAAAAAAACAATCTAAAGTTATATACTTCCCTAATCCTAAGTGTGTGTTTGGTATGAGGGATTTGGGAAGGAGGGGAGGGAAGGGGAGGGATTTTAATCATTTCCCCTTGTTTGGCAACACATAAATTTTAGGAGGGGAGGGAAAAATTTTTAAAATTTCCCCTCCCCTCCCCTCCAAAATTGAGAGGATTTGGAGGGAAAGGGCAATATTTTGTCATATTATGACCATTATGCCCATATTTTGTCATGTTGTGACCATTATGTTTATATTTTATCATGTTGTGACCATTATGCCCACGTCTTAAATAAAATAAGAGCAAAATTGTCCATATTAAAATATTTTTCCTTCCCCTCCCTTCTTTTTTTATAAATCCAAACAAGATAATATTAAAATCCTTCCACTCCCCTCCCCTCCCTTTCCTCTCATTGAGCCAAACATATAGGTTCAAATTCACTTTGTTCCCAAATTCATAATTCTTTTAACTATTTTTATTAATTATATATATTAAAAAAGAAAATTTTCCATTAATAGAATAATTTTAATGTAAATGATTAAAAAAATCTTAAAAAACTAATACAATTTTTACACATAACTAATTTATCTAATTTATTTAATTTTGATAGAAAAATAATTTTTTAATATCTATAAAATTAGTCATCTAGTACCTAGCTCGATTGTTAGACCCAAACTATTTAGATTTGAAACTGAACCATTCAAGCTTAATCAATAGCAAAAGGCTGGATTGAAGAGAAGCCAATTTGGCTTAGTTGTATGGTCAAATTCAATTGAGAATTTGAAAGAGAAGGGAAAGGAGAAGGCAAAGGGCAAAGAGTAACCCATCGTCTTCAATAAAACACAAATCCTTCACCGGTCCCAGACACAAAGGAGGAAAAACGACAATAATAACAACAATGTAAATATATTAATTTATAATGGGAAAGGTATGATAAAGACTGGCTCATAGGTCTGCTCGTGGAGGATCATAAATCTGCCCTAACAACTAAGTCTAATGACAACATTACAACGAAGACTGCCATAATATTCACTTCCTCTTTTTCGAAGGTGGTTGTGCCCCCTCCTCTTCTTCCTCTTCATCCTCCTCCTCCTCCTCTTCTTCCTCTTCTCCATCTTCATCGTCCTCATCATCATCATCGTCACCATCATCACTGTCTCCTTCTACATTGGCCTCAGGATCATCATCAGGATCCCCCTCATCCTCTCCTTCGCCTGAGAAGTCCTCGTCATCTCCATCATCATCCTCATCATCCTGATCTACCTCGTCTTCGTCATCATCATCATCCTCTGTATCACTACCATCCTTGTTTTCTTCGCATCTTTCTTCTTTTCGGCGGAGTTCATCTAGAGGAAACCTACACATTTACACAACAATTGAGATGCATCAGAGTGAGAGAACGTTCAGAATAAAATGAAATCCATAGCCATTTGAAAGAGGTGTGTGTGAGAGTTCATTCTTACCTTTCATCTATCGTGCTCAATTTTGGTGACTTGCTGGTGTCAATCAACAGAGATCCATTCTAGGGTCAATATAAACAAAATAATTAGTAAATTGCCAAAATTCCAATCAAGTTGATGAGAAAGAATTCTCAATTTTGACAAAGTTGGGAAGATGGACTGATAGGTATTAATAATTAATCATCACACAATACTCTAAACATGAGACACAGAGAGAATACACATATTGCTACTTCAAGAGCTGAGACAACAAAATCAACCCCGCGCCACCTTACGCAAAGAACTCTTTAAGAACCCATACCAGAAACTATCACATCCTCAGCCAGGAATGGCTCATTGGAATCCTTTTTCACCTTATGCTTTGTTTATACACGGAATTAATGGAAATGAAACATTTAATAGAGTCCTTAATCATGACAAAGAGCAAATATAGCAGTTAGCAAGCACCACAATGCATCATCAATAGCTCATAATCTGGTCTGCATCAAAATAAAGCTAAGCTGAAGACTCCCATAGAACTATTAAAAAAATAGGAAAGAAAAGGGAAAAGAGACTTGAGCGGCATTTGAAAAACCTGAAGCAATCAACACACATATGAAAAGATACCTAGTTTAGTCACAATCAGTCCTAAAATTACAAGTAAAATAGTGTCCTAGACACTATAAATCCTAAGTCGTTAGCCAACCAAAGAAAACACGACAAATCACTAAACTATGCAGAACCAAAAAAAGCCACATCCCTGGCACATAACTAAACGTAGACCCCAGATTATAACAAACAGAGCAACCTCAATATGTACCACGCTACATACATAGCACAATTTTGGAAGGATGATGTACTGCTATAGTTATATTTTACACTCAACTGAGCGGGTACATCAATGCATTAAGTGGGGAAAAAGAAAGCTAATAGAACTCACCAAAAATATGAAAGCAGAGTAAAATTGTAAACTTTAAGTTGAAAAGGGTCGACGGTACTTTTTGTGCCCCAGACATGAATAGCAAGAATGGTTGAGCTAAATGTCCCAAAATAAACAAACAGAGCAACCTCAAGGTGGGCAGGAGCATTGGTAAGATGAATATAAGTGACACACTGCTATAACGCATACTGCCCACTGAATCAAAACCTTTATTCCTTTTTCCACAGACACAGTACTTTACACCCAACAAAGTAGGAAAATCGTTACTTCAAAAAAGCAACATAACATACAAAAGAACGAATATCCAGAAACCATACAGCACAGGAACACTTGTGATTCTGAAAACCGATGAAGTAACAGTAAAAATGCTAACTTGGAACCAAACCAGTTGGAAGTACTTATTGTGCCATTGACATGAATTGCGAGAATGTTGGAACTAAATATCCCAAAATAAACAAAACTGAAACTGTGGAAGTATTACCGCTATTAGAAGGCAAGCGAGAGTTTTTCCAGCAGCAAGAAAAGCCTCCGCCACCAAAACCTCCACAAGAGAGCCAATCGGGACCGTCCTGTCCACAGAGCTTAGGGTTCCAACCTCCATTGTTGACATACCAAGCTCTGAAGAAGAAAAGGCGTAAAATTTAGCAGAGCACAGTTAAAAGAGTAATGCTGAAAGGGGAAGACTGAGAAGTCCGGACAGTCAAGACTTGGTTGGGGAAGTGGATTTGGTCGGGTTAGGGTAAACCCTAAAGGGTTTGGTTGGTCCGATTAGGGTTTTTCTTTTTTTCCTTTTTTTCGGCAGCAAAAATTGGCATTGCCACGACAATTTTGTTTGCTTCCACAAAACGAAAGGGTCGTCGGGAGAGCACCGGTGGGTGGCCGACAAAATTATTTTAACACAAATCTTAAGATTTAATTATTTACTTCAATCATTCAAAATCAACTAGACACGCATTGTTTATCAAAAAAAGAAAAAGAAAAATCGACCGGGCACATTACAAAGCAGTGGTGTGGAAAAAATTGACACAAATCTAAAATTGATGGCCCGGTCCAATTCAGGCCCATCCGAAGTGATTGGTCCAGTCTAATTCAAATAAGTTATACTCCTCCGGTCCTTAATATAGGACCCAATTATTGAGTTGGTTTTGGTCCTAAATATAAGACCCAATTCTCATATTTATCAATTTTCTCTAAATTACCCTTATGAATACTCTCTCAACCATAATCAAGTAAAAAAGGGAGAGGAGGTATTAAGAAAGATGATTATGGTGTTTTAGGAAAAATATGTCACATTTCTTATAATTAACTAACTTACCTAACTTCCTTAATCTAATCAAATTAGTTAAACGGGTCTTATATTAAGGACCGGAGGAGTACTACCTTAGGTCCATAATATAAGATCCTGTTTGATTTTTATTTTGATCCTAAATATAAGACCCCAATCCACTTTGTCTTTCATATTTATACATTTTTTTTCAAAGTAGCCCTTCTAACAATAATAGTTCTAATCAATACATTTGATTAGTAAGGATATTTTAGAAAAGACAACATCTATATAGGATAAATAACTAACTCAACTTACTTCCTTAATCTCCTCAAATTAGTCAACTGGCTTTTATAATTAGGACCGGAGGTAGTATAATGAAATTAGATTAGACTAAGGAGATGTTTGGGTAACTAAGAAAGTGTTTTTAAAAGGTAATTTTTTTTGTAAATCAAAACAAACTCCTTTATATATACGGGGTATTTAGATAGAAACAAAACTATAATTTTAAAAATAATTTTACATTTTACAAAATAAATATATATAAAATTTATCTTGATCTATGAAAAAAGACTTTTAAAAAGTACTCATGAGCATATCCAAACACCTCCTAACCTTTAGGTTAGGTTCCAGTCTGATTGCCTAGTTCGATTGGGCGGTGCTATTACAGAGTATATTTAGGTAAATGTGATATACATACACACACCCTCTTTTCCTTTCGTACTTTTAAAGAAATTATTATCCCTATTTCATATAAAATTCCATTACTCTAATAGGTAACATGTTTTTTGAGTCTTTATCAGCAATTAATATTTAATTATCTAAGTTGTCTATATGATTATATGAAAATTATATCCCTAGAAAAAGGTATTTATTAGAAATAGGGTTAATATCATTTTTACTTCATTAAATTTGATTTAAATTTTGGTTCTTAAAATTTGAAACCAGTAATTTTGGTCCCAAAATCTCTTTTTTTTTAAGAACCAAATCACTATTTTATGAACCAAAGATATAAAGTTGAGAAAACAGGTTGAGCCTGTCAGGTCGACCCATTTATACCCAAAAATTGTGAGAGCCGGGTTTGAAATTTTTCCCTTCGAGCAGGAAACGAGCTTAAAAGAGTTAGTCCTATAAAGTTGAAAGCTTAAACAAGTCGGCCCTGCAGGGCTGAATACTGGTCCATTTAGGCTCTTTTATTTTTTTAAATTTTTTATATAATGCTAATATTATTATTATTTAATTATTAATAATATTTTAAATATTTAGTTATTGTTGTCATTTTGAAATTAAATTTCATAAAATGCTTTGATTTATTTTGTTTTGAACAATAATTTGTATAATTAAATTTAAAAAAATGGGTTAATTTGGTCTTTAATAATGATTTGGTTTATATTATATGAATTGATATTTTTAAACTATATATATTTGATAAGAGAGTATTTTTATACTTATATAACTTGTGATTCTATAATTTGAATTATAAATTTATGAGCTTCAACAATAAAATATCTCAAACTAAAGTAAAATAATAGCTAAATTGTATAATTTAAAAGTGAAATTTCTATGAAAAAAAAAACTTGATATTTTTGCTACTAAAAAAGATCATACTCCTAAAAAAGAGCAATTGATAATGGTCATAATGAAATTTCAAAAAATTGATGATAATATTTGTCCATTGCACATTTGTACTGTTAATGAAACTTTTGGATGATATTATCTTATTGATAGATGTTTTAGATATTTTTGGATGTTAATAAATGTTTAGATATGAAGTAACTTAATTTTGTTTATATTTAAGTCTTTTATTAGTAATTGCATTTTTTTAAACGAGCCGAAAGCCTACAGGCTGAATCGTTGATAAATGGATTCAATTTGTCTCTCAACCAAATTCTTATCGAAAAACAATTTCTCAATAACTTGTTGATCCCTATGCCTCTTCCTGGATTTTCAGATTGATTATCATTTTTTAATTTCCTGACTTGGTGGCCAGCCCTGAGCGTACCAGCTTAAGAGCTGGGCCTAATGAAATGAGACATTTTTTAAATTTCAGTCCTGCAAGCTGACCTATTTAAGGCCGCAGCCCTATAGGGCTAGCTTGGCCCGTATTCCCAACTCAACAAAGATATTTAGACAGAACGAGATCAAATTTCAAAAATCAAAACTATTGTTTCAAATTTCAAGCTTCAATAATTAGAATCTTTAGAAATATTACTTAATTATTAATTTAAGTTAAAAAAAAATTGGATGTTAACAAACTAACTAACTGTTTTAGGTGTGCAAATGTGTTATCACATGACAGAGAAGGAGTAATTTTTAATTTACACTTCTTTAGGCGTAAAGGATAAGAAATAAAATGTATTTTTAGTTGTTCGTGAATAATATTTTTTCTTATAAATTTTAAATTCCTTCATTTTAAATAATTGTACCTTCATGATGTTTCACTCTTTATTTCAAAGTAATTAGCATTAAAAAGTTTTGCTAAATACTATTATCCCTTCATTAATAAAACAATAATGATAAGCATGTTAGGATATTTAAGTATCGGTAACTTTAAGCTGATCTATAGAAAAGACAGAAGTGGATTTAATTATTATAAAAGTGGAATAACCCATAAACTTGAGTGTTGAGATTTTGAATCAAGACCCTGTTTTTCCAAGGGAAAATTACACTCAGGTCCCACAGAATATAATTAATATCAAAAAGGTCCCTTGAAATCGCGAAATGATTCTGAAGTCCCCAGGGACCTGTGTGTAATTAATTCTAATTGTGAAATTACATAGTTACCCCTGTTAATTTGAACCTATTTACAACCTCAACAGTGCTGTTAACAACCCGAGAAGAGGTGGTTAACAACCTCAACAACGCCCCTGGTATTCCACAGAGTGAGTTGTCATGAGCACTGTCGAGGTTGTCAATCACGTCTTCTCGGGTTGTTAACAGCACTGTTGAGATTGTAAATAAAATTAGAACCTATTTACAACATCAACAGTGGCTGTTAACAACCCGAGAAGAGGTGGTTAACAACCTCAACAACGCTCCTGGCATTCCACAGAGTGAGTTGTCATGAGCACTGCCGAGGTTGTCAATCACGTCTTCTCGGGTTGTTAACAGCCACTGTTGAGATTGTAAACGAATTGTTGCAATAAAATTAACAGGGGTAAGTAGGTAATTTCACAATTAGAATTAATTACACACAGGTCCCTGGGGACTTCAGAATCATTTCGCGATTTCGTGGGACCTTTTTGATATTAATTGTACTCTGTGGGACCTGAGTGTAATTTTCCCTTTTTCCAATGCGTCCGATTTGTCCAAAACTTGTGTGAATACGACATTAATAGTAAACTCACACGTAAGAGAAAAATTATTAGGTTAAACCTGATATCACGTTTCACATCAAGTCATTTATATTCATCGTCTCCTTCTCTTTAGTTGATGGTTATATTCCTTCTTTTTTTTGTTAGCTTTTCAATCATGAATATCGAAATAAAAAATAAATATATGAAAAAAAAGTTTTATTTTGATTTACATAAAATATATTTATAATTTTAATCAACAAACTGGGCCATACACAGTTCCATTGAAAATGCGACCAAGGCAGATAAGCAACAGGTAAGAAAAATCAAATGCCTCTCACTATTCATGTTCTACAATTCAAAGGAGGACATGAAAAAAATTCTGACAAAAAAAAAAAGAGGAAAGAGATAGAAATGAACATTAGAAAATATAAACGTCCGGAAGTAGAGGAAGAAAATTTTTTTGGTGAACTAGAGGAAAAATATTTAGTTTACAGGAACTCTGGTTGTATATAAGTTGGGTCAAGTATAAGTTAATCCGTGAAACTAAAAGTCCGCCCCGAAAATCCATCAGTTTTAACTTATGAACATGAAACAATTTGACCCATGAGAAACCCATCATAAGAGACTAGGCCATTGGGATTTCCCTTTTTGTTTTTTCTAGATGTCAAATATCTACCTCTTGTTAACAAAAAATGGATCTCTTCGTTCTTTTTTTTTGTTTTAATAAAAAGACAAGATCAAACCTAAAAGAAAACATGACTACTAAAGAAAAGACACAATAATAAAAAAAAGGAATACCAAATTAGCTAGAGTACGTCTCAAACGTTAGGCCAAGCAAATTGTTATAGGTTACTGCAAAATAATCACTACTTATGGGCCTAATTATAAACACGGTCTTATAATTAAGATCAGAAGTAGTACCTATTGCTTATTTTGTAAACTTTTGTTTTAAAAGTTGGATAAGACATCCAACATCAAAAGTCAACCGTTCATGATTCTATGGTTCAATTAGTTGGATGAATCAGTGAAGTAATAATTAAAAAAGTTTAATAAGACATAATTAGATGCATATTAACTAACATTACTCTAGTCTTTAATATAGAATCTAATTTAAGAGTTGATGGTAGTCCTATATATAATACTTATTTTACATATTTATCAATTTTTTTCAATTTAACCCTAT